ATTGTTGCCATTTGAAACAACAGACGCTGGAACATAAAATGTCAAATTGCCTTAAATTTAAATATTTCATTTACAATACCTATGATATGCAATTTATATAAATAGATATAATAGCATAATATTGTCAACAGGCATATAAACTAAGTATCTACTAATAGGAGGCTGCCATTTTGTGAAAAATGATATTATTGTTTTTTCCATAATTTATCAAATATATATGGCCACCGACTATGAAAAATAGTCCATGATATGACGATGGTTTCGTCAATTAACCTAACATGTTAATACGTTACATTCAAAAGTGACGTAACATTTTTACTTTCTATGAAACTGGTACACAAAATGTCTGTCTCCCAGTTGGGGATATTTCTCAGTCTGAATACGCGTTCCATAGTATATTGAGTTCAGTGGTTCGTCATAGCGCATAAATTATAAATACCAACACTATGCTGTCGTATTATTTATCGTAAACGGTTGTCGTCCAGGACACAAAATCCTGAATCGGATAACTCGAAGCTTTAATACTATTGGAGTATATTGAGTTATGGTCAACGCAAGACGAAAAAGTAATGTATACTTACTGGTGTAAACACATATCGTTATTCGTTACACAATCGTATCCTACTACAATGGCGATAACAAACAACGCCGTGATCAGTGTGCCTCGATGCCGTTCACTGTACCTATGTGCCTTTTTTCCAAAAGCAATTATCTAGCCCGAAAAATTGTCTTGACGTTAACATTATATATAAAGGTAGATTGATTTTTTTTTTTTTTTAAATATCTATTTTTACGTCGTATAAATTATTAAATGAGAAACAAGAAATTGTCCAAAAGTATATGGATGTCATCACTTTGAAACCTCTTATACCTTAGTATGAAAGTAAAACGCAATTAGATTAATATAAATAATAATATTCGCTGATTTTTATTATGAAACGCAAATTACACGAGTGACGAGTTGTGCCGGTGTAGCACTCGCGTATGGTGGACAATCACCACCATATAAACTATATAAACTGCTGATACGTAACAAAACCCTTCGATGGAATATTTTTTCAAAACTTCTATTTTCAAGAATTAATAAGTTTTATTTTTTAATAAGGTTTTCAAATGTGACTAATCTTAAAACTGTTATACTCCATAAGAAATTACAAAGTAAAAAATAATACAGTTTATATTAACACAATTTTTGATTTTTAATAAATTGAATAATTACAATAAATTTAAATACATTAAAACCAACAAGTCTAAAAATAATTATTACAAAGAATTTTACCTATTTAAAAATAGGTAATGTACTGAATTCTACTTTAAAAGTAATAACACATATGTGACATATAAATGTATTTTATCTGGTTAAAATTTTTCAATTGAAAAAAAATTAACTAAAACGACATCTAATCAGCCTGCTTGTATTACTGAATTGACTGTTATTAGTCACTTGCGTTAGGACTAGTATGGCTAGTTTCTTCCGTGCTCGCGTTGTATTGAAATCCAATGCGGTGCAAGTGCTCGGTTATAAATGCGGTGTAAGAATTCAGTTTATTCACATAAAAATCGTAGAGGTTAATTATAGTATTTAAATTTCTACATTCAGCCGCTAATATTTCTTTATCGACGACACTGTGTTCAGGTTGACAGTCAGTGATTTAAATGGTTTATAAGGAATCTGCTAAGGACGTAATTGGCCAATTAAGCCGATCCCTTTTGAGAAATAGTCGAATCCTCGCAATAGGTTCGTAAAATGGACTTGGAACGACCTTTTCGTCAAAAGCAAGAAGTAGCCTAAATATAAGTAACAAGTTAGATATAACCGACGCACAATTTGCGACACTAGCTCTCAGTTTACTCCAACAATCATCTTTGACAAACTTTGTTGGAATCTGTCACACTCATTGATCGTATGAACCGTTAGTCTGAGAAAGTCGTTCAATTTTTGTCCGTAACCACATCCCATCATAGAAGGTATAGTTTTCAACTTTTCTAATGTCCCATACTTGTGAACTCTATTAGTTAATCTACGTTTGCTTATGCAGTGCTAACCGGATAGTCTAACCTTATTGCACCATATCTCTTCCCAATGACATGGTCTAATAATATTTTTGGCATGATTTAGTTCATTCCTCGCGAGTCTACCGTTAATATTATATAATGATAACGCAATTAAAAACTTACTAATCGAAATTTTTTCCATGCTTAATCGTTTAAGCATCCGATTTTTTAGTTGAAAAAATGAATATGGTCTGCCTTGTCTCTAACAAAAATGAAAATGTTTAAATTAAATATATTGCCGCCAAGTACTATACGACAGAACTCCGAGCAAAGGCGTAAACACGCCCACTTATTGTTTGCCTCGGAAAATTTTTTGTCAAATTGTGTATTGCCATAAGTTCAATATACTGGTGCACGTGACACAGTTGCTGTTTAATATGTACAAACTAGAAAGAAAGAAAATAGTTAAGTTCAGTCGGGGCATAGTGGGGATGCTCACAGTGAAAGTAGTTTGAATATTTTGTAAAAAGTCATACTATGGTAGAATAGTATTGATTTAAAAAATATGTAAAACCATGTTCGACTTTAAAGGTGAATGGCTGAAAACCGTTTGTAACTCCACGGAATAATCAAAGCGATTAAATTGCATTTAAATAAACGCTTAGATGCATTTTCATATATTTTTGGTAAATTTTTTCCAATCTATTGCAATATATACCTCTTCAGTAAGAAGTAAGCGGTGTTGCGTCAGAGCAAATATAAAAACTATTGTGATGAAATCTGTAGCTTTGGTGTTTTGATGCATGATGATAATAATTCTGTGTGCGATAAATATGGTCATTTATACTAATTGTAGTAGTAACAAAATAAATAATACTGCATCTCACTGAGAAATCTCTAACTCTTTATACTCTAAAATTTAACTTTAATTTTAAACTCACTACAACATTGCTTAAACAGATAAGGTAAAAATTTGCTTTGAACATTTTTTTATTTGGAATGACTCAGTCGAACAATGCTCTAATAATTTAACTGGAGATATTTGGCGTTCAATTGTAGCAGAGAGGATTTAGTGCAAGCAGTAGACCAAAAAAGAACTGGATGTAAGTTTGTAAATAAAGTTATAAAGTTAAGTGAATATTTTTTGTGTGCAGAAAACTAGGTGAAAAGGAAAGAAAGCAAAGGAAGTCGTGGATTTGTATAAATGTGGAGATGAAAGCAAACGTGGTAGGAGTGATGTGAAAAATTGATACAGCAATAATAGTAAAAATAATTTTAGGGAGTGTTGAATGTAGTAAGTGCATACGCTCGAGAAGTAGGATGTGATAAAAGTTTTCTGGAGGAGGAGGAATTCTGGCAAGGTTGTTCAAGGAAATTCAAGGAATATCAGTAATGAAAGGGGTTACCAAAGATTTATAGGGGGGAGTTTTCCATGGTGTATGACGTTTGCGGATGCCATAGTGTCATTCGGGAAAGTCCGGCAGAAGTGGACGAGAGATTTTAGGAGTGAAGAGAAGCGCTTAAAGGGAAAAGGACTAAGATTTAGTAGGAGTAAAACGGAGGGAATCGTGTTGGATTTTCAATGGATCAAAATGTTGGGCAGTAGACAAGAAAACTGAACAGTTATTGAGTGTAGCAGAGATGAGAACGCTAAGATTGACAAGTAAAGTGACTAGAAAGAATATAATACGCCCTAGCTCGGAGCAAGCATTCAGACCCCCATCGGTTCGGCCGGTAGGTTACAGATTCCAAGTACTGTACCCGACGGTTAAAAAACCAAGTGTCTGGTGTTGCTTACTTTACGGTAATCTATGGTTTAAATCAGAAAGAAATCTCTAGAGAGGTCAGTCGGCCAAATGTCTGGAATGGTGTACCTATGTAGCTGTTTAAAAGTTATAGCTATTTAAAGTTCAAATTAGTGCACTATTGAGAAGTATTTATAGCTATATTCAAAACAAATAATCTTTTTTTGTTTTGAACAAAGTATAATATATTAAGCGACCTATTATTTTAAAGCCAAGAATGTACCATAACATTTAATTAATTACCTAAATTGTCATTACAAATTGGTTTGAAAAAATAATAATTTTATTATTTTATGGAGACGCTATTATGAAACATTACAGTGCTAGCGTATACGAAACTTGAAAGATATACTGTTCCCAACTTTTCCTTGAGGATTTTTGTACAAGCAATAAACGACGACTGTCATTATATAACACATCATACATTACCTATGATAAGGAGCGGTTTCAGACTAAATCTACAGTAGTACAGTTTTTGTACAGGTAATAATGGCCGACGACCGCAAACCATGTCACAGTATGCATTCACTTTCAGTTAGGTTAGATTATTATGATAATGCTTGCCGTTCTTATCAAGTGATAAGACATTTTTATATAACATAGACTGTACACTATGTTGTTACTGTACACTGTATTATTAAATGGATATCCCTTTAATAATATCATACTGCGAGTGCAAGATTGCTTGGTACGTCGCGTCGTTGTCTTCATGACAAACAAATTATTTGAAAACGAACGACTAAATTATTAATAAGCGAAACGAAAAATCGTTTTCGACTAGTGTAACGATAATATAAATCACCTTTATCAGCCTATATCGACGCCCTTCGCCGTATATGTATGTGCCTATTTTCCAAGAGCAATTATGTAGCCGAATGGATTTATTTGGAAGAATCAAAGATTGACGGTCACGTGATGTTGAGATTTTATGTATAAGCAGATAGATTGAACTTATTATTACATTTTTAAAAAAATCTTATTTCATGTCGTATAAATTGTAAAATTAGATTTGTAAAATGTCTAAATATATAAATGTCGTCACTTTGAAACCCTTAGATGGAATTTTTTAACAACATTTTTTACTAAAAATATTAACAAGCTAATTAATTTCATAAGGTCTTCACTTGTGGCTAATCTTAAATTAATTAAACTCCATAAGAAATTACAAAGTCAAAAATAATAAAGTTTATATTAACACAGTTTTTAATAAATCGAATAATATTTATTTCAATGAATTTAAATATATTAAAATCCAACAAATCTAAAAATAATAATTACAATACATTTTACCTATTGAAAAAAAATGTAATGCAACGAATTTACCTAATAAGTTATAACACACAAACGTCGCATATTTAATATATTTCATAGCAACTTTTATACAGTTTACCATTTTTGTATGAAAAAAAATAATTTGTGAAAATGTATCTATTCTGTGCGGTCTTATAACTGAATTTACTGTCTTATGTATTAGGAGTAAAAAAGGTAACTACGTCTTCCCTTGCGTTGTATTGAAAACCAAGCTTACGCAAGTGCTCGCCTATATATGCAATGTAAGAATTCAGAGTGTTAACATAAAATTCGTAGCGGTTCATTATAGTGTTTCGATTTTTATATTCAGCCGTTAATATCTCTATGTTGAATACACGGTGTTCTGGTTTGCAGTCAGTTTTTAAAATGGTCTCCAAGTATTCAGCAACATACATGACATCCCAGTTAAAACCTTGGGCTATGATAAAAAGGTGAGCGGCCCAAAGATGCCCGTAAAGTTTACTTAGAGTTATACTACTGTCGAAATTGTGCAACTCAAATACGCGCAACAAACTTAATATAGTTGTGGCAAGTGTTTGGAGACTACTGTTCAGTTTGGTCCAACAATCGTCAGCTACAAACTTTTGTGGGAAACTTTTACACTCTTGGACCGTATGAATCGTTAATCTGAGATAATCATTCAATTTTTGTCCGTAACCGCATACCATCATATAGGGAATAACTTTCAACTTATCTATTGTGCTGAAACTGGAATCTGGATTAGATATAATACGTTTATCTATCCATTCCGTTTGGATTTTGACCTCATCGAACCACATGTCTTGCCAATGTTCCGGTCTGCTAATATAGTTAATATGAATCGATTGTTTTTCAGTAAGTGCGCCGTCACAACTCGTCTTGTTTTTAATGCATGTAACGGCTAACGCAATTAATACCTTAATGACGACAATTTTTTCCATGTTTAATCGTTTGGGTATCGAATTTTTTACTTGCCAAAACGAATATGACCTCCTTAGTCTATAACAAAAACGAAAATGTCCAAATTGAATCGATTACGTACTAAACGATAGTACTTTGAGCAAATCCGAAAAGACACGCACTTATTGTTTGCCTGGGATATTTTTTATTTCTAAAGTCATTAAAATGTTAAATTACATTTTTCCATAAGTTTAATATACATGTGCACGTGACACGAGTAGAATATCAGAAGAGTGAAGATAATTAATAAATCATAAGTAATTTAATCCGATCCAACGTTTCGATGTGTATCTGTGTATATTAAGAAACCGACACAGTAAAAAAAGAAACTAGTTAAGGAAAATAGTGAAGTAAAAAATTAGACTATTGAAACCTTGTACATTAAAACCAAGCATAGTAATAACCAATACAGTATTAGTCAGCACAATCTAAATCAAGTACAGTATAAATAAATACAGATTTAGTTACATTATAACTAACTGAGTAAAATTTAATAAATGCTTCAATGCGATTCTGTGGATACTTGACCACATTAAGGGTATTTCTTCCTATGCTGGTTTAGACTGTACTTGGTTTGGACTATGTTGCGTTAAACTGTGCTGGATTCTTACTATTTCTAGATTATCATCAAAGCGTTTGCGATAAAACCACAATCAGATTTAATATTAGCTTTGACCCAAATTTGCTAACTTCTTCTGTACTGATTTATACTGTATATAGATTGGAATTTGCTGGCTTACAATATGCTGGTTCAGACTGTACTTGGTGTTAGCTGTGCTTTTTAAACATAATTCTACCTAAATATAATGAAATATATTTCTATAGAAGAGATAAAAATATTATATTTTTTGCTCTATTTTTAGTGTAGTCCAAACGGTTTATTTCTTAATGATACAACTTAAAGAAACCAACATGGCGCCGCCGGGATATAGTGGTTATGGGACATATTAAAATGATAAGTTTATAGCTATTCGGGAAACACTTATTTCGCTACATTTGTATAGCTGATTCAATAAACATTGTTTATTTTGAATTGTCATTAAAAAATTTGTAGTACTTACTATGAAAGAACTAATATAAATTATTTATGAAAACTATAAACTAAAATAATACTGTGATTTCGGAAAAACGTTAATAAAAAATGCACAAAATGTGGACTTACGGTCTTTGAAGTTTGAGAGTAAGACTTACTTGAATGATTGAAATGGTCGTACTTTGAGGACAGAAATCAATTTGATTGGCTTTTCATACGAATTACTGTAAGCTGATCTCTTGCGACTAGCTAATGAGTGCAAATATTAATTTATTTACATAGCTGGTTTATTTCTATTAATACGATTTCTAGTTTACATTACTCTGACGTGGTATTTAGACTAAGTTGTGAACATTTATTTCTATATAAATCACTCGTAAAAAAAGTGTTTACATTAGAGACTTAAGCCACACTTAATCGTGTACGTCATTCCATAGAAAAAAAATCATAATTATTTTATCTTTCTTTTAAATTTAGTCCTACGTATTATGTAAACATTTTGTATAAGCTTATCTAAAACTGAATTTAAATTAACCTTAAACAAAAAATTGTATTTTAACTTTTTTTTCTTCAAAAACGTTCATTTAAATTCAAATGATGGTGGGTTAGGTTTTTGTTATACTCAAACAATACAACTTTATAAAAATGTCAAACCGTTCGTTTTCTGCTGATTAAAATATAAATTAACCTAAGCTGACGTGGCTAAGATTTAATGTATATCGGTAACATGTATTCAAATTTGATGTATACAAAAAAATTAATCAATATTAGAATCATTTAACAGTAGTTAAATCATTTCAAAACTAAATAAAAATTGATTATGAGCGAAGTTAGTTATATTAGAATAGCTAGCTGTTGGAAAGCGTAAAATTCCTGAAAATTATAAATCAGATTTACTTTGGTAAATATTAATAAGGACGTAAGTTTTTGTTGCACTTAGGGACCCAAAAAAGCAATAATCCATTAACATATTAAACTCTACCTAAACATTAACCCCAATTTGGGCCTCCAACATGGTAGTTACGGCATTGTACATTAACATTACATTGTAAGACGGTTGTGTAAACAAGTAATGCGTTTTTTTGTTACTCAAACTGCAAAACAACTACTGTTTTTTATGATTCGTATGCCGAGCCACGATTATTTATTATTAAAGCTGTAAATATTGTTAACAGCCGTGAAAATCTGAACTAAATAGGTAATTAAATTGTTCGTTCATGTTTTGTAGGCGAATATTTGTTTTTGTTGTTTCTTTTGTATGGTATCACCAGCAAAATATCAAACTACTGTTTAATGATAATATTATATTTAAACCTAGATTTGTTGGTTTTGAAATTAGAGTTCAGTAACATTTTTTCTAACTACAGAAGAATGAAAATCAAACATTCATCAAACTTAGATAAGTACGCGCGCCGGTGTAACCATATGAAAAAACCCTAATATAAATAATAAAACGTCCAATATAATAATATTATACGAAAGCGATTTGATAAAAAAAAACCTTTTTCTATAAAGCGTTCGGTTTACAAAAAGCTAAAAAATAACATATTGTTATAAGACGGTTGTGTAAACAGGTAATAGGTACATTTTTTGGGCTTGTCAAACGACTAAACAACTACTGGTTTTTTGTGATTCGTAGACCATAGATACGATTATTTATTTTTAAATTCAATGTGAATATTTAACCTATATTGAACAAACAAAATACATATTATTTATTAGGTTTCACACTGAAATCGCTAAGACAGCAGCCGTAAAAAAAAATAGGAAACATTTAAGCTTTAAATTCCTGTATACCACTATTCAATTAACTTACGCATTAAAAAAATATCATAATGAATATTAAATTTGTTTGTATTTTTTCATACATGTTTCTATGTTTTTGTAAAGTAAAATATGAAGAAATTACTGATGAGGTAATTTTGAATTTATTCTATCCAACTATATATTTTATTAAACACATTTATATATTATAAAGTTTATTTAATAATCTTATTGAATAATTATAATTTAAAACACATTATTTCTGTAATAATAGTATTCGCATTTAGTATTAAAAAAAAACAATTTAATAATTTTAGAAATTGGACGAAATTTATGATGCGGTATATGAAGATGTTGCTGAACATTCAATAAAGTGTTACTTAATTGAGAAAATCGTGGGATTGAAGGATGGACTACCTGAACAGGAAATCAAGTTTATAATTGAAAAATTGCAGTGTACGTTGAATAATAATAATTTAGTATTGTACATATTGTAAAATGTATAGGTATGTGAAATGTGACTTTGCCTTCTACATAAATTATCGTCGGTAGGTAGTGTGTTTTTTACAACATTTCTGATGAGTACCTATAATATTATGCAAAAGTCGCCTGCAAAAATAGTTGGGATGACTAAGTTATGCACATACATAATAACGGGCCAATAAAAGTATTGTCTTTAGATGACTTTTAATTATACCCGTTATGGCCATATATTGTACATAAAAACGCAATAACAATAAATGCAACCTGTTATGTGGTTACAGCATAATTTAGTTTGGTAAACTGTAATACAAATACTATTGTAATGATTTCTAGATGTTCCTATGACAATACAGAACCTAAAAACAATACAACTTACTGATGCGGTAATTATGACTTTTTTTTATATCTAATAATAATTATATATTTATTTGCAAATAAATCCGTGTCGTACATAGATAATATTACTTATTTTCACATTATTTCTGTAATAATGGTATTTAAATTGTGTATTAAAAAAAAAATTAACGATTTTAGCATTTTACCCAAATTTTTAATTCGGTACATGAAGACGATGTGGCTCAGGATCTAGTAAAATTTTACTTATTGGAGAAAACTATGCGATTGAAAGATGAATTACCTGAACAAGAAATCGAGTTTAATATTGAAAAATTGCCGAGTATGTTAAATAATAATAATTAAGTAGGTATTAATAATGTAAAATGTATATGTGAAATGTGACTAGTAATCACTTAACCTTTTTACAAAAATGGTTATCGATAAGTAGTTTGTTTTTTTCAACTTTCTAAGGAGTAGTTATAATATTATGCATAAGTCCTAAAGTAAGTTAGGAAAAACAAGTTATATACTTCTAATAACAACCGTTATGGCCAAATTGTGTACGTCATAAAAACGCAATAATAATAAATGCAACCTGCTAATTTGTTACAGCATAATTTAGTATGGTAAATTGTAATATGAATACTTTTGTAATGATTTCTAGATGTTCCTATGTCAAAAAAGGACTTTAAAGAATCACTAAAAAAAATAAAACTTACTGATACGGTAGGTATGAATGTTTTGATAACTAAATATGAATAATATAATAGTAATAGTTCGATACTATAGTGAATATACCTAGTAGTTTATAATTCGAGACACATTATTTCTAAAATAGTAGTATTCACAGTGTTGTAACGTGAGCCACGGTTTGAGGAAGAGATTTAGGTTTAAGTCAGTAATTTTAACGCAAACTTTCGACGGATTTTCTGATTTGTGTTATAGAACAACACAAATAAACAATTTTAAACAAAAAGAATAGTTAATGTATACAATTTACAAATAACTTCTTAGATACTCTGAAAACACATTAACTAACAAGACATTATTTAACACATTAATTAACAAGACAAGACGGATGCTCTGCTGTCACTCAACTAACTCTGTATTATGAGTTAACACAATAAACAATTAAAAACAAAATGGTTATGTACACAATTTACAAATAACTTTAAAGATACTCTGAAACATACATAGATGCTCTGAAAAACTTAGCTACTTCATAAGACATGACTGATGCTCTGCAGCAAAACGACTAACTCACCGTTTGTGGTGGGACACGGTTGAGTGTTTCTGACTAAGGCTAAATCCCTAAGTCAGCGAATTCCATTCGACTCGGTCGTGGTCAACACCAATTATCTGATGCTCTTAACTTGTATAATTATTTACACACATATGAAAAAAACATATTATAATATTCAGGGGTTCATAACAGTGTTTATTAAAAATACAAATGTAATGATTTTAGCAACTTGTAAAACTTAATGATAAATTACGAGACGATGAGAAAGGATATGTTACCAGGCATTCCGTAAAAAACTACTTAAGAAAGGAAACCACGATACCGAAACATAATCTATCTGCAGAGAAAATCGAGTTTATAATTAACAAATTGCAACCACGCCAATATGGACTAAATGAAAAGGAAGTCGAAGAGATAAATAAACCCTTAAAGAGTACGTTGAATAATAATAATTTAGTATTACATATTGTAAAATATATATTATTATGTGAATATATATTTTCGGTAGGTAGTATGCATTTTTTACAACATTACTGAAGTGCATTAAAATATTGTGCAAGGTATAAAAACTAAAAACCGCTCTTGTTTTCTTTAGACCTATAAATTGTGATTAATATTGAAGTATTCATTTTACGAAATTCTCCTTGATGTTTTTTTAGACACGATTTTAGATTATTTAAAATTAAAAAAGCGGTAACAAAGTTATTGTTTTTAGATGACTTTTAATAACAACCCGTTATGTCCAAATTGTGTATGTTATAAAAACGCAATAATAATAAAATATGCAACTTGTTAATTCGTTACAGCATAATTTAGTTTAGTATATTGTAATATGAATACCTTTGTAATGGTTTCTAGATATTGCTTTAACAAAAGAGGAATTTAAAGAAATACTAAAAAAAATAAAACTTACTGAAGCGGTAATTATGATTTCTTTAATAACTAAACATATGATACATTAAAGTAAACAATTAAATACTTTATAAACATAGTGAATAATATAATGGTGATAATTTGAGACACGTTCTTTCCACAATAATAGTGACCATATTGTGTATTAAAAAAAAATGTAATTATTTTAGCAATTAGACGACATTTATGCTGGTGCCAAAAGTTCTAACGCCAATTGGTTTAGAAGTGGAAAAGTTGACAAGAAATTTACAAGACTCTACTTGTCAGACAACTTATTAGAATACGGAATAACAACTTATGAAATAATGCTAAAAATAACAGAACACTTCCCGACGGGTACGATTAACAATAATAATTCATTTAATGATATTAAAAAATATATATGTGAAATGAGAATAACTAATAATCAGTAATTACTTTGATGTTTTGCGTAAATTATTATTGGTAGGTAGTGGGTTTTCGTCATAACATTTCTGAGGATTACCTAGATGGCTTTTGATTATTTCCCTTATGGCTAAATATTGTACATAAAAACGCGTTAATAATAATTGCAACCAGTCAACTCGTTACAACATAATAAAGTTCGGTAAAATTTAATATGAATACTTTTATAATGATTTTTAGATAAAGATAATATTCCAATAGAAGAATTTAGAGAATTAATAAAAGGTGTTATGTAATGTGGACGCTACAACACTACCTGGTGGCGGATTTGCCGCTTTTAAGCAAGTAATTTTTTTCACCCTTTTACTATTACAATTTTCGCTTCTTTATAATATAGTGATTTTTTTAAATTTGATAAATATAAATTCAAATTGTCATATATTTTAGGGTTATCTAAATTAATTATTAGTTATACAAAATATAGTAAATACAAAAATGAAAAGCCAGTACAGTGTGATAGGGCGGAATGGTGACGGAGCATATTGGAGCAGGGGAGGTCACACTTCTTTAGGAATTATTTGTACCGAAAATGATAATGCCACTTTATATCTAACTTCAGAACAAAGATTATATTTTCACCTTTTCTGGTAGGAAGGGTTTTTGATATTTTACTAGTTTGTCAATGTTTATCAATAGTACATTATCTAAAAAAATATACCATTCAAATTTGGAACTAATTTAAAAAAAAGCCATAACGCCATAAACCCGTTATTGAAAAAACAATATACGTCCTCGACTAAAACATTTTGCGGTACAGCTGTTGTATATTTAATAAACACTTTATTGGACGCATTAAATACAAACAAAATTTCAAAGAACACTATACAACTCTTACTGTATATCTGTTGTTCTAGATCTATTGAAATAATTCTAATTCGGTATATGGATGAAACATGTTTGGGATGAATTGAGATTGGAAATTCCGAGAGACCTAGGCCTCTCATAGATCAAAAGTTGTAGTACATAGGCAGAAAAATATTTACCGATAAGTAGATATACATTGCCCAATGAAACAAATATCGAAAACCATTTCTAAATTTATAAACGAGGTCTGACTGAAACATGTCTTCTTTTATTTAGATTATCTACCTAATCAATTCTAAACGTATCATAGTACAAAATATACAATCGTATGCAAATTACAGTCTTCCAAAGTGTTTTTTATTTTTAGTAATTTTATCACTTTTAGTTCTGAAAATGTTTTATATAATTTTACATATTATGCTGTTTACTTACGCATTGTATATTTATTTGTAATCAATCTTTTATTATTATTTCAGGGCTACAAGATTACACCAAAATCCTATCCTCATTCACTATAATTAAAAATTCAAACTATTTAAAGTATTTAATTTAAGTTTATATAAAAAAAAAAATCAAGGTACTATGCTGTTAGCATGGATTTTTTGTGTTTATTCTTTAAATTCTAATGGGTGTGAGGGTTATTTTTGTTTTAACGGATTACTGTATTATTTGTTTAATTTGTAAGTGTTATATTCAAACATTAAAACTTCATAAAAATGTTAAACAACTCGTTTTCTGCTGATAAAAATATAATTAACCTCAACTGACGTGGCTTAGGTTTTAATAATAACAGAAGAACATTTACATAAATAAATTCCATGAAGAAGGTGAGAAATGTATAAATAGCTGAAAAAATCAGTTCCTTCAGGATATAGGAGCTAACTGTATAACAGCTATTCTGTTTTTTTTTTTTTAATTATTTTTATTGAAACAGTAGTTTTGACTCCTACTCTAAACCACGGAATTGTTAAACTGTGTTTGTAATATTTTATATAAATTAAAAATATTTATAAATAACCAAACAGTTTGATTAGTAAAACAGAATCTAAAAATCTTATTTGGTCCAAAAGATATATAATCTGCGTGGCTACACGGGTTTCACTTGTACGAATCAAATTATTTCTAGAATATTCCACACACTAGAAATGATACTATGTATATTTTATTGGTAAATTTAATTTTTAGTTTATACGAATCTAATGCTTGTCAGACCGAAGTTCAGTGACGACTAAAGATAATAATTCAATGCTACTATGATATATGAATATTTATATAATGTTTATCATAAGGATTTATACAGTATTCTAGTATTTTTATATATATACTAATTCATTGAAATACTAGGTTGTGTTTTGTAATATTTTACTTAAATTAGAGATATTTTAAATGAACCTATAATAGTTAAATAAACAGAAAATAAAGCCTAGAAGATGAAATTAACTAAATGTACAAATAAACCAAATAGAACTTAATGAATTAAACTTTGAAATGAAGAACCGTAATAGTTACTAAAGCATATTATAATAAATGTTCTCTCTTACTGAGAAAACAGTGATTGTGGTAAATTATAATGAGACAATTAAGACATTATTATACAATTTTAGGTATAAAACTTAACAATGAATATAGAGAATGGATGAAAACTAAATAATTATAGATTTCAAAAAAATAATAATAATCTTACCATAATTAGAGATTCTAAGGTTTGCTTGCATCCAGGTATAGTAGCATTATAGTTAAATTATAGTATGCTGTCCATTTTTTTAATTACCGTAGAACATTTTGTATGTATACTATTAAGTCTGTACATGTTACTTCTGTTAAATTTTAAATGTTTTTAAAATTTAAAATTTTCTGATTAACTCTTCAAGTTAATCAATGCCGGGTAGCAATTCTAAGATTTATTTATTCATCTTCTTTTAAGTACTGCTTAGCTTCTCTGATCATACAATACATTTCTTCTCTACATTGCATGTAACAAATATGGACTTGAGATGAATGTTAAGAAAACTAAATTCAAGTTAATAACCAAAGACCACACAGACACTCGCAATAATGAATTTAAATTAATATTAAACAATACCATAATAGAAAGAGTGTCTTCATACAAGTATCTTGAGACATGGATTCACAGTAACTGGGATAACTCAAGAGAGATCCGATGTCGAGTTAAAATTGCTAGATCAAAGTTCTTTAATCTAAGGAAAAGTTTTTCAAACAGAGATCTACCATTGGATTTAAAAACTAGGATGTTGAAGTGCTACGTGTTTTCCACCTTGTTGTACGGAATGGAAGCTTGGACTCTAAAGAAAGCAAATGTTCAAAAAATTCAAGCATTTGAGATGTGGTGTTTCCGTAGGAAAGGTAGGTTGACAAATTTACAAACGCAGAAGTTTTAAGAAGAATAGGCAAAGAACCAGAGGTGATGAAGTTTATAAAATCTAGGAAGTTGCAATATTTTGAACATATGCTTAGGGGTGTAAAATATCAGCTCTTGCAGCTCATAATACAAGGAAAGATTTGAGGGGAGAGGAGCAGGGGAAGACCTAGAACGAGCTGGCTGAAACATCTAAAATAGTGGTTTCAATACAACACTAAGGAACTATTCAGTGCAGCCAAGGACAAAAAACATACAGCCATGATGATTTCCAACCTTCGATAGAAGTGGAACGTGAAGAAGAAGAAGATTACCAATCCTTATAAATCAAAATGGGGGGTTTTTAGTTTTTTTTTAAGGCAACATATGTTTTTAATTACATAAATTTGCAGACATACATTTTAAAAATTTGTAAGCGTTTGAATTTTCATTTTTCATCCATTTGTTCATTTGTCATGACTTTGTAAGGATACTACATTTCCTCTTAATAATCATCACATTGCATCGGTTTTCCAAAACCGGTAGCACATAAAAATCATTCTTATGGTCGCATTGTCCAATTTTAACAGTATTATATAACATAATATTTACAGGTACCTTCATTGCTATATTGTATTATTTATGATTAAATATTGTATAGTGCGTACACTCAAATTTACAAACAATCCGTAATGAAATTTTATGGTTTGTTGTTTATCGAAAGCAAGTGTTTTTTTTAAACGTTTTTTTGTTTTGTCTTTTATTAAATCCTAATTCCTGCCCAAATGTTTGAACCAATTTTTCGCAAGGACGTAGAATTTTGAAGTTCCAATAATTACAGCGAATAAGTATTTTGTACATTAAGATACTGTAATGATTATATTGTGTGCACTAAATCACATACTTGCACACAAATAATGTCATTTTATACAATATAAGTTATATATTCTATAATCAATTGTATGCACAAATACTAATATCGCACACAACTATCAATTATTTTTAGTATAATATTTATATAAAAAGTATAAACGGATATGTTAAATAAAAATTACACATAAGATACGATGACTCAGACTTTACGCATGGATGATTTCATACGAGGGGACATTTCTATATCTTTCCCCCGCTGATGACGCACATCCACCCCTATATAAGACAAGCAACAGGTTTGCCGTACGCCCAGCTGATCCAGTAGAGCTAGTAGCCTCAGTAGTCATCGTGATTCCAGTGGCCCAAGTTGTCTGGCCACGCTCGTCTGCAACTTACCAATTATTTAATTGATAAGGCATGGCGAGTGCGGTCAGATGATTTCCACTTAATCGTTTATGGTCTGATCCAGCGTATTTTCAAAGTCTTATGCACAAACAAAACATTGTGTTCATTTATTATTCTATTTAATAGTTCATCTATTAATTTAACTATCTCAACATAGTCCAAGAGACTGGCCTGGTTCATTTAATTCTCTTGAGAAGCGTAAAGCAGCTCGAGGGATCCAATTTCATTGAATTAAAATATTCACTTGGAACTTGGATGTTCTCGCCAGCAATAGGACAATTTAGGTAGTTAAACAGTAAATTAATCAGTGTTCAGCTAAGGAAAGTCAATCAGAGTAGTGCGTGTTGAGTGAGGTTAAATATCGACCCTCAAGGTCGGTTGCTTCTTAATAATCACGGCCTGATCTTACCGAACTTCTGAACGAACTTTGAGTCGTTCCCCACTTATTGTTTTAGCAGTTTGAGGCGAAACGTCCAGAGTTAAAAGGGTATAAAAAGTATAAACAAAACAGCAACTTCATTTAAGCAAATCATTATCATACGCTTAGTGACTGATTTAAATTAGACGCAAGTGTATTTCATTATTAAATCTAAGTAATAAATGAATTTAATCTACAAGCTGCTGCTTCAACATTGTTGCTTCACTACAAACGAGATACGTACACAATAACGTTTTCACGCATATCACAATAATATTTAGCGTAATGGTTTAATTTTGAAGAGGTTAGGGGTGTGTAGGATAGCTCCTTCAGTTTCCATAATCTTTCCCCATTTACCCTACGATGAGCCCCCTTACCTCTCCTTTATTTGAACCATTACAATACAATATTATTCTATTAAATGGTCCTAAATTAAACATTTATAATTAATACTTAATAATACATTACATTTTTACCCATTCACCTGATAATACATATTTGAATTAAAGAAATACGTTTAAGAAAATATAACGTTGTTCGACCAAGCTGTTTTAAATAAATATAACCTAAAATTTATTTTTAAGAATTTAAACATAATATTAATGTACAAATGTATTATTATTATATTAATTATTATTTATTAGAACTCCCAGGGAGACTTCTTTATATCTTGTTTTTCTTTATTTAAAACATATTAAATTCTAGTTTAGTTCATTTTCTATTCCGTACAAAAGCCAACGATATGTTCTTGATTGTTAGGTAATGTAAACAAATGACTGTTAGCATCACATATACTTTTTATTTATGAAAGTAGTATTGTTATTGTTTAATAACAATCAAATCAAAAGTAATATTGTGTAATAATTATAATTTTAATAGTGGTTAAGTCACATTATAGATGTTTTCATTATAAAAAAAAATGACCACCGATTTAGATATAGACCTATACCCATTGCGTATAAAAATGAAAGAAAAAAACCAGAAGTTTCAAACCCCCTATCACTTTGTCTTGGAAGCTTTAAATTCATATAAACTGAAAGTTCATATTGAATTTCTACACTATTACTAATAAGACAGGTTTTATTACCAATTATTTTGAATTCAAGATCGTTTTTCAATTTTACCCTTTACTTGTAGATAGGTAAGGGTAAGAGTAAACTTTTTAATCAACACAATACTAGTTATTTAACATTTTTATGAAGTTTTAATGTTTGAAGAATATAACATTTACAAATCACACAAACAGTAGAGTAATCGATGAAAACAAAAAAAACCCACACACCCATTAATAGTTATTAATACATACAATTGAAAAAATAAGCTAATAGCATACCACAATGAATTTCTTTTTTTAATAGACAATAAAAATCATAAATTAGTTTGATTTTTTGAATAAACAAAATGACCCAAGGATATTGAAGTAATCTTCTAGCTCTGAAACATTAATATAAAACTTAATTTACAATGCGATAACTTTACAATATGTTAAATTATATTAAACGTAATCTCTTTCGGCCAGGTAAGTCAGCAGTCAAATTTTCAGAACTCAGTCACACATTTATAAAAGTTAAAGAAAAACATGAATACTGTTTATGGCAAATTGGTTTTTGATATTTATTTGATTTGTCAACGTATACCTTTATGTACTATCGACAAACGTATACAAACAAATAATATGGCCTTTCTCAACAGAAGGGTTAGACACATATTATCTAAAAGCAGTTACTCCCCCTCCCCTTAATGTGCTCCTTCTCCGTGATGCCCCACTGTACTGGCATTTTATTTTTATTTTTACTATTTAGAAAACTAATAATTAACTTACACGACTCTAAAATATATAAAAAAACATATTTTTCTATATCACAATAAAAAAAAAAATAACAAAAAAACTATATGTTATAAAGAAACGAAAAATGTAATGATATAAGGGTGATAAAATTACTTGCTTAGGGGCTGCAATTAAACAAATGCACCACCGGCTGGTAGCGTATACATTATTTTCCAACAATAATTAATGTTCTAAATTCCTCCCAGGACATATGATTATCTAGAAATCATTACAAAAGTATTCACATTAAAATATATCAAACTATACTATGCCCTACCAAATTGACGGGTTGCAATTCTAATAATTGCGTTTTATGAACAATATTTGGCCATAAAGGGTATTTAAAAAAAAAATGGTTTTTCCGCTTATTTCATTTTTAAATAATCTAAAATCGTGTTATAAAATTATCATTTAACATATTTCGTAGAATAAATAAATAAAAGCGTTTAAAACATTTTGCAACTTATTTTTCTAACTAATTTTACAGTAAATATGTAAAATATTTTAAGTACACCTCAAAAATATTAAAAAAACACATGCTCTATAGGTTACAATATATATTACTGAATTATTATTATTCAACATACTCTTTAAGGGTTTAATTATCTCTTTGACTTCCTTTTCATTTAGTCCGTATTGGTGTTGTTGGCTCAGTAAATAGGCTTTAACTCTATTCTTGGTAACATAATGGCTTTTGACAGTGAAAAAAGCGTATCTGTTTATTTTCTCAATACCAAGTACCTCATCATAAATATTTTCTAGTTGCTAAAATCATTTTATTAATTACATTTTTAATTTTAATACACAATATAAATACCATTAAATAAAAATAATGTATCTCGATTTATAACTATTATATTATTCACCAAGTTTATTGAGTATTTCATTTTTTAATTTTTTTTTTTAGTGTGTCATATAATTAGATAGCAAACATTCAGAATTACCTTATAAGTAAGTTTAAATTCAATTGATTTTTTAAATTGCTCTCTCGACATAGGTTCAGCTAGAAATCATTGTAAAATATTCACATTAAAATTTACCAAACTGTATTACACGTATTATTCTGTAACGAATTGAGTGGTTGCAAATATTATTATGAATAATATTAGGCGATTTAAGTTATTACATAACAAAATTCACCTAAAAACAATAATTGTATTTGTCCACTTGTTTTGTTATTTAAAAAACTACAAAAAAAAATACTTTGGTAATGTCGTAGAATGGATATTTCAATATTAGTTGCAATTTGTAAAACCGTTATAAATTTTGTTTGTAACATAATTTGTAAAAACAAGATATAAGGGTTTTATATTTTAGTAATTTGTTCTTTATAACCATAATTTGGTCACAGAGAAAGGTGCGAAGACCGTTTTTCCCCCAGACAATTGACCGTTCTAAAAAAACCAACCGCCAGTGGCCGAGATTCCTTATTAAAATGATCATTAGTTTTCACATTTCACATATTATATATTTTAAGTTGCAAAAGTTGCTATCGGAAAAACTAAGTTGGGAAGGAGGTAAAAACAAAAAGAAATTGTGAACAATTGAGATCACATAGTGTGAAAAAAATATTTAAAAAAAAATTGAATTTCTTATTAAACCCTATGAGATATTGAGTGGTTCACGAATCACGATATGTGGCTCACCCTATATATTTTACAATATTTAAACCTGAATTATTATTATTCTACGTACGCCACATCCGATCAATTATCTGGCTGGCTTCCCCTTTTGATATTCCATGTTTTGTGCAGTTTGCTACGTCACTAAAGTAGTGTTTTCCAGTTTCATAGGAAACGCCTAAATATATTTCCTCGCCATCTGATGATATAGTCACGCTACATTCTCCAATTGATGTATACATTTTACTGAGTTGCTAAAATCATTACATTTTTATTTTTAATACAAAATGTGAATACTACAATTATAAAACTAATGTGTCTCCAATTATTACTATTATATATTTCACTAGGATTATGGAAAAGCATTTTTTTTTTTATTAATTAATTATGATATTAGATAGCATAGATTCAAAATTACCATATCAGTAAATGCATTTGCTGTGTTAAAATAATGAAACATGTATAAAAAGTATATAAAATATTTATAGTTCATTATGATATTTTGTTCAACGGGGATAGCGCTTAAATATTGTTTTGCAGCTGTATGAAACTAAAATGATTCTTTCTGTCTTTCTTTTTAATGGGTACTGTTATTGCGATTTTAGTGTAAAACTTTCGTGTATGTGTTTTTTTGGGTCATATGTCGAAAATCTATACTGACTAATAAAAAAAATCGTGGGTATGTTCATGAATCTTAAAAAAAACAGTAGTTTTTGGCCGTTTGACAAAACCGAAAAATGTATTTGTTACCTATTTACACAACCGTCTGAAAAAAAAACCGAATACTCTATGTCCCATCATAATATAGGGTGTTCATAAACCCTATATCTCTTAAACTTATACATTGTGCGATGGGTCGGTGTATAGTAAAATACGGATCTATTATTTAGTCTCCTCATCAGTTTGCATCAGTAAAAAAATTAGGAAAACTATAACGTAAGTTTTTATAATGTGTTTATTTATTAGTTTCTTCAGAGGTACGAGTAATATTAAAAGCCATATGGCATGCACATCCCCAGCGATGTGCTGACACTTTTTTGGATCTACGTCCTAGTCAATAACAAAATTGATTGTACTAAAATTCTTAACATTATTATCATTATCTTAATATCCCTTTAAGTTTAGCTTATTATAATTATACAAAAATAAATTAAATTCTCATGTAGATTAAGTAGTAATATTTTAGCTACACATTCATATAACATATTTAATTATACTTTGTAAATAACAAGTTTTCTAAATTGTACAAAAGCCAACGATACGTTTTGTATCGTTAGTACAATAATGTTAGAAATGTCATTGCTTGATAACGATCAAATCAAAAGTAATATTGTGTAATAACTATAATGTTAATAGTGTTTAAGTCACATTTAAGATGTTTTCATTATAAAAAAAATTACCACCGATTTAGATATAGACCTATACCCATTGCGTATAAAAATGAAAGAAAAAAACCAGAAGTTTCCAACCCACTATCACTTTGTCTTGCAAGCTTAAAATTCATATAAACTGAAAGTTCATTTTGAATTTCTACACTATTAATAAACAGACAAGTTTTATTACCAATTATTTTGAATTCAAGATCCTTTTTCAATTTTACCCTTTACTTGTAGATAGGTAAGGGTAAGAGTAAACTTTTTTAATTAACAAAATACTAGTTATTTAACATTTTTATAAAGTTTTATTGTTTGATTATAACATTTATAAATCACACAAAAAGTAGAGTAATCGATGAAAACAAAAAAAACCCACACACCCATTAATAGTTATTAATACATACAATTAAAAAAATAAGCTAATAGCATACCACAATGATTTTTTTTTTTAATAGACAATATAAATCATAAATTAGTTTGATTTTTTGAATAAATTGAATGACCCAAGGATATTGAAGTAATCTTCTAGCTCTGAAACATTAAAATAAACTTTAATTTACAATGCGATAATTTTACAATATGTTAAATTATATTAAACGTAATTTCTTTCGGTCAGGTAAGTCAGCAGTCAAATTTTCAGAACTCAGTCACACATTTAGAAAAGTTTAAAAAAAACATGAATACTGTTTATGGCAAATTGGTTTTTGATATTTATTTGATTTGTCAATGTATACCTTTATGTACTATCGACAAACGTATACAAACAAATAATATGGCCTTTCTCAACAGAAGGGTTGGACACATATTATCTAAAAGCAGTTACTCCCCCTCCCCTTAATGTGCTCCTTCTCCGTGATGCCCCACTGTACTGGCATTTTATTTTTATTTTTACTATTTAGAAAACTAATAATTAACTTACACGACTCTAAAATATATAAAAAAACATATTTTTCTATATCACAATAAAAAAAAAAAATAACAAAAAAACTATATGTTATAAAGAAACGAAAAATGTAATGATATAAGGGTGAAAAAATTACTTGCTTAGGGGCTGCAATTAAACAAATGCACCACCGGCTGGTAGCGTATACATTATTTTCCAACAATAATTAATGTTCTAAATTCCTTCCAGGACATATGATTATCTAGAAATCATTACAAAAGTATTCACATTAAAATATATTAAACTATACTATGCCCTACCAAATTGACGGGTTGCAATTCTAATAATTGCGTTTTATGAACAATATTTGGCCATAAAGGGTATTTAAAAAAAAAATTGGGTTTTCCGCTTATTTCATTTTTAAATAATCTAAAATCGTGTTATAAAATTATCATTTAACATATTTCGTAGAATAAATAAATAAAAGCGTTTAAACATTTTGCAACTTATTTTTCTAACTAATTTTACAGTAAATATGTAAAATATTATAAGTACACCTCAAAAATATTAAAAAAACACATGCTCTATAGGTTACAATATATATTACTGAATTATTATTATTCAACATACTCTTTAAGGGTTTAATTATCTCTTTGACTTCCTTTTCATTTAGTCCGTATTGGTGTTGTTGGCTCAGTAAATAGGCTTTAACTCTATTCTTGGTAACATAATGGCTTGTAACAATGAAAATAACGTATCTGTTTATTTTCTCAGTACCAAGTACCTCATCATAAATATTTTCTAGTTGCTAAAATCATTTTATTAAATACATTTTTAATTTTTATACACAATATAAATACCATTAAATAAAAATAATGTATCTCGATTTATAACTATTATATTATTCACCAAGTTTATTGAGTATTTCATTTTTTAATTTTTTTTTTTAGTGTGCCATATAATTAGATAGCAAACATTCAGAATTACCTTATAAGTAAGTTTAAATTCAATTGATTTTTTAAATTGCTCTCTCGACATAGGTTCAGCTAGAAATCATTGTAAAATATTCACATTAAAATTTACCAAACTGTATTACACGTATTATTCTGTAACGAATTGAGTGGTTGCAAATATTATTATGAATAATATTAAGCGATTTAAGTTATTACATAACAAAATTCACCTAAAAACAATAATTGTATTTGTCCACTTGTTTTGTTATTTAAAAAACTACAAAAAAAAATACTTTGGTAATGTCGTAGAATGGATATTTCAATATTAGTTGCAATTTGTAAAACCGTTATAAATTTTGTTTGTAACATAATTTGTAAAAACAAGATATAAGGGTTTTATATTTTAGTAACTTGTTCTTTATAACCATAAATTGGTCACAGAGAAAGGTGCGAAGACCGTTTTTTCCCCCAGACAATTGTCCGTTCTAAAGAAACCAACCGCCAGTGGCCGAGATTCCTTATTAAAATGATCATTAGTTTTCACATTTCACATATTATATATTTTAAGTTGCAAAAGTTGCTATCGAAAAAACTAAGTTGGGAGGGAGGTAAAAACAAAAAGAAATTGTGAACAATTGAGATCACATAGTGTGAAAAAAATATTTAAAAAAAAATTGAATTTCTTATTAAACCCTATGAGATATTGAGTAGTTCACGATTCACGATATGTGGATCACCCTGTATATTTTACAATATTTATAACTGAATTATTATTATTCTACGTACGCCACATCCGATCAATTATCTGGCTGGCTTCCCCTTTTGATATTCCATGTTTTGTGCAGTTTGCTACGTCACTAAAGTAGTGTTTTCCAGTTTCATAGGAAACGCCTAAATATATTTCCTCGCCATCTGATGATATAGTCTCGTTACATTCTCCAATTATTGATGTATACATTTTACTGAGTTGCTAAAATCATTACATTTTTATTTTTAATACAAAATGTGAATACTACAATTATAAAACTAATGTGTCTCCAATTATTACTATTATATATTTCACTAGGATTATGGAAAAACATTTTTTTTTTTATTAATTAATTATAATATTAGGTAGTATAGATTCAAAATTACCATATCAGTAAATGAATTTGCTGTATTAAAATAATGAAACATGTATAAAAAGTATATAAAATATTTAAAGTTCATTATGATATTTTTTTCAACGGGATCACGCTTGAATAATGTTTTTCAGTGTATGAAACTAAAATGATTCTTTCTGTCTTTCTTTTTAATGGCTACTTGCGATTTCAGTGTAAAACTTCCGTGAATGTGTTTTTTGGGTCATACGTCGAAAATCCATACTGACTAATATAAATAATCGTAGCTATGTTCACGAATCTTAAAAAAACAGTAGTTTTTGGTCGTTTGACAAAACCGAAAAATGTATCTGTTACCTATTTACACAACCATCTGAAAAAAATAACAAATACTTTCTTTTCTATTAAATATAGGGTGTTCATAAACCCTATCTCTCTTAAACTATATATTGTGCGATAGGTCGGTATATAGTAAAATACGGATCTATTATTTAGTCTGCTTACCAGTTTGCATCAGTAAAAAAATTAGGAAAACTATAATGTAAGTTTTGATTTGTGCCAATTTTCGATTGATTGTGACTTCATCGTTATTTTGGAAGTAGGAAACACTTTAGATACAAATGTATTTAGTATAATATTTGAATTATTGTTCGAATAATATTTCCTGTTTACTGTTTATGCGCGGTTAAATTGCACAGTGTATAGTCAAGCAAATAGTTATACAGTTTAAAATACCGAGTAGGAAACATAAAAAAAATGAGATTGCCTGCGAATACAATATAGACTCATGGGGTACACTGATGTCATGTTTTTATATAATAACATAAACCTTGGTCAAAACAACTTTACGTTTGTTTAATCCGTATTTAAACTATCGTTTCCTTATAAGAAGGCGCTACACTTGTGTATTGATTGCACTTATTTGATCAAACGAGTCTTAACAAACACAAACATCAGTAGATTTTTCTTCTATAAAAACTGAAAAATTTAGCTGTAAAAAGTACACACGTTTAATTCAAAAGTATTTTACGAAGGTTATTTAATTTAATTTTATTACTACAATGGATACAAAAAAACTGATTTGTGTGATTATTATCCTAATGTCTATTACATCAGAAACGTGCTCTACAGATCCTAATCAAGTAATAATTTTATAAACCTTTTAAATGGATTTAATTTTTTTTCCTATACTAATATTGTATTAGTTATTTATGCAAATTATATAAATAAAACCACCCCGCCTGTACGAAATGTCTCAAAATCGCTTAAGGGTGCCTCACGACTGTGATAAAACTGGGCGTAAATAGACCCTAGGCTTTTCCACCAATCTTAAGTTCACCATTTACCCGATTTTAAATCTGAAAATATTTTTGAATTTCTCGTTTCTGTGCTTTGGGCTGTTGTTAATTTTCAATATTTAAGAAAAGTCAAACAAACCGTATAATATCAACATGGTGGTTATTGAAAAAGTAATCTGTGGCAACGTTGTTGCCAGCCTTAGTGATGGGATACCCTTTGGCTTTAATTTTATGAAACAATTAAGGTTTCCATTCTAATAAAACACAAACTAAAAAAATAAAATATATGCTTTGAGTTTACGTAAGTGTTTTGTCTTAGAGCGATCCTTTGAAGTCTTTTGGCTGGCCTTTACAACATAGTACATTTGTGGAACAGAGGGTAATATAATGTAATATTATTGATAATTTTTTGTTTAATTATAGTAATTAATATATATATATATATTTTTTTAACAATTATACCTACTGTAAGAGGACGTTACACCACCAACTTCTAAAAAGTAAAGTATAGACAATTTTAATAGAATACCTAATGAGGATTCTTAATTGGTTGTCATTTTTTTTTGACAGATTACCACAGTCATTTCTATAGGATAAATTACATTTTTTCTCTATTAAAAACGGCTTTGCGCTGTGCATGTATATGAGGCCAGCATTGACAGTAGATTAACCAAATGTTCACACTAGTAGTGTGTGGCGTCCTCTTAACAATATTTATTTCTATGAGATAACTTTTGTTATATTAAATTATATTGTTTTCAGTGTCCTAGTCCAAAAATAATAAATTTCAAAAAAATGGCGTAACTTTTTGAAGTCTAATAGAAACTTACATATTTTATTAACTTATTAAAATTAAAATAATGTAATGACAATTATTACTGGTCGATTTAAAACTTTTATAATAATTACTTTAAAGGTCAGGGTTGGACCAAAATCATACTATTATCTTTGATAATTTATAATAAATAATTGTTATTACATCATTAATAGGTGAATAATTTAAATTTATAAGTTGCTAATTAAATTTTAAAAGTTGTCTTCTAAAATTATCCTTTGAAATTACACTTAAATTTGAATATTAAAATTGTGTCATGTTTTTTAAGAGAAGTAAGTAAGTATGAAAGTACATTAGAAAAGTTTTATTATTCATCTAACTAGAAAATTGTTTTATTTTATGGAGTTTTATTTTTAACTTTTTGCTAAAAAAAAAATACTAAACGTATAACATTGTTGAAGTCATAATGCATACTAAAATTTGTCTCACTATCACATTTTTAATTTATTTAAAAAATAGTACTTCATTAGAAATAAAAACACTTTTATTAAAAAAATACAGGTTATCATTCGAAACAAAAAAAAAAAACAAATGTACCTGAATTAACACTTAAAATGACCTACTAATATAGTTTTTTTTTTGCTTAAGAAAATACAAGATAAGGAAATAAGGGGCTGGCCATTTAAAAATAATGACGTTCTTAAAGTAAGCTTCTTAATAATAATTATTAATAGTTGTAAATGCAAAATGTTACTAATTTATAAAACATGGATAGCCCAACATGTTACAGTTGTAACATACATGTTACATTCTTGTCTTGGCCCGACGATAATGAGTTAAACCAGTAGTTACCTAGTAGTTTAAATATCATACCCGACTTGCCTTTGTATACCCTATTTGAAATTCGCATATATTTTTTGTCATACTTAGGTGCATATTTTATTAATAGGTAATAAGTACATACATTTAATCATTATCAGCAAAAATATTATTTTACAATTCAAACATATATATGAACCATGTATTTGTATTTTTTTTTTTAAACCAAAGATTTTAAAAAGAAGTATACAAAAATTATAATTATATGAAATAATGTTTTTATAGCCGTACAATTATAATACTCAGCCTGGATTTCAGGTAAAATGAATTCACTATTACACTTAATAATTAGGTTGTTAATTTAAAAACAAATTTTTAAATGCCTATAAACATAACAGTATTGAAATACTGTTATGTTTATAGGCATTTTATAATTTGGTCATCTATAGTTTTATGGTAAATGATTTTTTTTTTATAATTCTTAATGTAATGTATTGCCTTTAGAGAGAGGACAGTAGCAAACATCCAAGTTTTAGTTCTGGGTACATGTCAGCAAGGGTGAGTTTTTAAATATTTCAGACATTTCTTCAGACTAATTTTCACATCTTAACCCATATAATATGCATTGTAATTTACTCCTTTTTTTGGGGGGGGGGAGGGAGGGGGTATTTTTATTTAAAAAAAGTTGGACTGCAGAATTGATAAATGTTAATATAGTAAATTGATATGTTATAGTTCCATTCTAGGTCCAATTTTCAGACATAAAACTTTGCTTTAAAAAGTGAACTAAAGAAAAAATGTCTATCCCTTCTAGGGGAAAGAGCGTATAATATTTATTTGGCTTGTCAATGTTTGCCAGTAGTACCACGTTCAAAATAATATTCCATACAAACTTGAAGTTCATTCGAATATTTTCAAAAAATTTATCAAGCATTGTAATTTTAGGTTGAAAAATATGTAAACTTTGTGGGTCTCTTTCTCGACTTTGAAGGAGTAAGGGTGAATTTTTTCAATTTTTCGCCCAATCAAGTGCCTTTAACCGGTTGTCTTTTATAGATAAACCTAAGTACTATTTTAACTTTATAAATATGAATTTATTAAGGTATTGATGGTCCTAACAGGCTCGATTAGCAAGCCTCGCATTACAAAACTGCCTATGCTACAGTCTATATTGTGTGGTATCATATTTCAATAGGTTGACTTTAAACAACGACTGTATCAATTAGGACGAAATATACTATTTTTTTATTTCACTTGGCATAATGATTGAGTGTAATAATTTTGTGTTTTTATTTCTACTTTCAGTCTGATTATAGCACCGATTATTTTTCGGCAAATGAAAATTAGAGAAATGGTGAAACAGAAAATTAATTAAAGCTATAATGTTTTTAATTCGGTTTTCCATTTAGATGGAAAAGTATCGCGCTTTTTTTTTATTAGTTACGCTAAAATATACTATTTGTAGAATTATATTTAAATAACGATTGTCATTAAAAAAATGTTTTATTATAATCTACAATTTAATTATTATAAATGATACAAATTTACTACTGAGGCGTGTCTCAGTGAATTTCAGGTCTAATTTAAATATTAACAACTTGGTTGTTTATTATTATTATTGCAAGTATATTATAGTTTATAATTAACATTATAATTAATATATTATTGTTTTAATTGATTCCGGCTAGAATTGGTTTTAAGATGCTCACATATTCACGTTGATAATAATAATTTAAAATAATATTATATATTATTAATATTTAGCGTAGAGAATATTAGATTAATATAAGTATATTACTTGAATAATTTTGTTTGATTTATTTCTGTAGATTTTTGTTGTACCGTAATGTGTGTTTTAATAGTAAAAATATATTATATACTTTCCTTAGTTTGTAGTAGAAACATTAATAAATAAAGATTTCGATAGTAACTAAACGCAGTATCTTATTTTGAAAATGTATTGTCAAGTATAGACCACCAAATATATTGTTTTTTATTTTCTATTAATATAATACTTAGTATAAGTAGTGTAAGGAAACACCTCGCACCGCTGGAACACAGAAAACATACTATGTTCTACTTTATAACTAAAATAAAATCAATTCTCATTTTAAAGCTACCAATAATGTCATAATGTGATACTAATTTTGATTAATATCTGTACACTCTCTACGATTTAAGTTGTTCCAACAAGTCGTTAGGTACATAATAATAACATTACTAATAACATATTTAATCTTGTGCTTTTATTATTATTATTACTATTGTTATTTTATTTAAAATGATTTATTGAAATAAGAAAAAACATGGATTGATGTTATGTCTTCGTATATTTGTTCAAACAGTTACCCGTTGTTCAAACGTCAATGCATGCAGTTCAAAATTAAGTACCCTTTTAGGTGTGGTTTCTGATATATAGGGTTGCTAGAAGAAGAAATTGGTTTGGCGGTCACTGTCAATAATGTACTTGAAAATATATTTTTTTAATAAGGCTAGATACGACAAGGTTTGATCGACTGAGCTGATAATAATTATTCGAGTTCCAATATCGATCATTTTATTTTAGTTGGTGACATATTGTTTTCAAAATGATGCGACGCGACTATTTTGTATCTATATATATATATATATATATATATATATATATATATATATATATATATATATATATATATATATATATATATATATATCTGTTTTTGGAGTTCTTTTTTTGCACAATGTTACTCTACAAACGAATAGTCATATTTTTTGTACTAGTATAAAACAAATCTTTTTTTTTTTTAACTTATTTCTTTTGTTTTTTTTATATTTTCAGAACTACTTTCTGGCACGGTAGTACTGTACATTTACATAAGTTATAGCGAATGCCTATTTTGTACATTCGTAATTTACCATCGTTGAAAAGTTTAGAATTATTTTATTTGTTATTTGACCCCACAAGGCATATTATTGTAACTACATTGCACTTGGCGTTTAACACATAATTATAAGTACCTATACAACTAGCATTTTTAATTTTAGCTAAAATTCCCTTGTTGTACAGAAGCCGGCCATGTATAGGTAGGTATTATTTTTTACACGTTATTTTATTAAACAGTATTTTTCACAATGACTATAGCATTGCAAACTAAATATGAAAAACACCAGTTGGTTACACACAACCCAAAAAGTTTTGACGTTATATGAACAGTCATATTTTACAAAAACAACGTTTTATAGTTTTAAGTTATATTATTTTCATGATCTAAATTGCTGTGGCGTGTACTTACCTGAATTATGCACATGTACTTGAATTGAAAAGCTATTAGAATAGTATGATGGGAACAGAACAGGGGTTAAGAATGTTAAAAGAGAGAGGACAATGAAAAAGAGGATAGAAAAATCACATATAGTAGGCACCACGTGTAAGGTGCACTAGGTTGAGGAATTAAAGGAAATGTTTTTAAATATGTTTATAAAACCAGATTAAGTTATTTTAAGCCATTGCAATAACTATTCCACGTGACACTTTTCTGTAAAGCTTAAGAATGTTCTAACAGGGGATGAGAAGTCCACGTGGACGTGGGAAAGATAAAGATGAGCTGGCAATGTAATCGAGTCGTTTTTAGTGATCCCAGAGTTAACTGACACCTACAGGAACTGCACTATTTTAACTCAGAACAAGAAATACCGGATAAGAGAGATCTAATAATATGGAAAGATATTTTAGAGCTAAATGTGGAGGAGGTGTTAGCTTTTTTTTTTTTGTTATAGGCAAAATAATAATAATAAATAATTAGTTTTGAAGGGAGGTAAAAACCAAAAAAAAATTGAAAAACTGATCTCAAATTGTATAAAAAGACTAAAATTTTATTAAGCAAAAACAAATTTTGTATTAAACCCTATGAAACATCGAGTGGTTAAACACGATAGCATGATCAGTAATTGCGCATAGTAATGTGCAATTGTATTTTTTGTACTTCGATACGTTTAGAGTTGATTAGGAAGAATTTTTTTTTTTTTTTTGGAAATTGTACAATCTGTAATATATTTAATTACAATAAGCACAAAAGATGATATTTAAGGTAAGCAGATATATAATAATATATTGAGACAGTAGGCTCGATAGAAGGGGCCAGCCAGTGCTGGTACTTCATGACGTGTGAAATCGTAGATTAGTCAACCAATAGGTCGCCAAGGAAGAAAATTTAAATAAAAAAAGACATGTTTCAGTCAGACCTCAGTCACAAGTTTAGTAATGTTAAACTAAACAAAAACCAAACGAATTTCATCCATACACCAAATCGGAATTATTTCAATAGATCTAGAACGGTAGATAAACAGTAAAAAAGTTGTAGAGTGCAATATGCTCCGTCACCATTCTGCCTATCACTTTGTACTGGATTTTTATTTTTGTGTTTAGATATTATATTTCGGATAACTAATAATTCATTTAGAAAAGCCAAAAAATATGTAACAACATTTATTTTTATTTATCACATTACAAAAAATTGAAAGTTGAAATATTAAAAATATTATTTTATAAAGAAACGAAAAATTGATTGCTAAAAGAGTGAAAAATATTACTTGCCTAGAGGTGGAAAATGTAGAAATTCGACACCGGCTGGTATTGTAGCGTCCACATTACTCCTCACCTGTGGACGGTACCACATTAGCAATCCCATAATACTCGTTATATTTTTGTTTCATATGATCTTTAAAAGCCTTTTTCTTCATATTTTGATGGACTAGAAATCATTAAAAAAGTATTCACATCAAAATGTATCCAACTATATTATATTTTAACGAGTTGACTGGTTGCAGTTATTATTATCGGGTTTTTATGTACAACATTTGACCATAACAAGGGTATTCTAAAAAGCTATTTAAAAACATAATGTTTTTCTGCCCGCTCATTTAGTTTTTAAATAATCTAAAATCGTGTCTAAAAAAGTCATGGGGAATGCCACAAAATGAATATTGTTTTATGACATAATTTCGTAGGCAAACGAAAATAAACGAGTTTTATATTTCTATATACTTTCTGCCTAACTATCTTCACATACGTTGCAGTGTAAGTATTGCCCAGAAATGTTGTAACAAACATACTACCTAACCATAATAATTTATGAAAAACAGCAAAGTGATTATTAGCTATTCACATTTCACGTATATAAATATATTTTATAATATGTATTACTAAATTATTATTGTGTACCGTATGGCATGCCCTCTGTTATCGCTTTAATGCAATCCCGAGTTAGATTATATTCAGATAAGTGTTCCAGTAAGTAGCCTCTTGTATCTAACTTGGTAACTCTTCCAAAACACCCAAAGCAACAAAAAGGACAATCTTCTTTGACACTAAAGATTTTGACTCCATAATACATTTTTTCCAGTTGCTAAAATCATTATATTTTTATAATTAATACACAATGTAAACAATATTATTGCAGAAATAATGTGTCCCGAATTATTCACTATATATATAAAAAGGTTATAGTTATATATTTTTTCATTTAATGAATCATACATTAAGCTATGAGATCATTTAATCACCCACCTCATCAGTAAATGTGTTTGCTATTTGAAAATAAACAAACAAGTATACAAATATATTAGCATATTTAAAATACATAGTTTTATTTTTTTTTACACTTGATGTTTTGCAGGAATTTAAGACTTTAATGATTCGTATTATTTTTAATGGATTCCGTCGTAGCGATTTCAGTGTTACGTTGTTAATATACGAATAATAATGGTGGCTGCCAATCATAAAACAAACGGTAGTTGGTTTGCCGTTTGACAAAAAAAATCGCTGTTATACTTGTTTACACAACGGTCTTTAAGCCAAACATTTTATAGGAAAAAATTGAATATTTTTCGATGTTTGAACAGTAGTTTGTTTTAGTAGTACCTACAGTTTAAATTGTATTAGGAAATTAATATATATATATATATATATATATATTTTGAATATTTCGAATTTAAAAAGCGATATGAAAACTTACAAAAAAGTTTACTCTGTGACTTATATATACAATATTGTTATGAACTATTACTAAATATTTATTAAGGAGGATAATGTTTTTATCAAATACTCAAATATAGGTAAATAATTTGTTGATTAAAAAAAATTTAATGATCCAATATGTTGGAAAATGTTATTTTGTTCAAAATTCTATAAAAGCGGGACAAGTATTCAAAAGGAACTAGAGGAAGTGGGGTATCCCTCCTCATAAAATAGTACTCGTAGGATTTAATCTCGCTTAATAATTGGTTTTGGGTACACCTTTATTTCTTCATGCTAAAATTAGACAGTGCAAAAAAAAAATCATAATCAAAATAGGATAAAAATCAAAATTTAAATCAATTTTTCATTGAACATAAAATATTTATTTTATTAATACCTTAATAAAATTAAGTATATTATATACTTAACAAAAAAATTATAAAAACAAAATGTAACTTTAAAAAACAAGTATTAAATATTATAACAAATAAACTTGTAATTATAATCAAAGTAGGATAAAAACCAAACTTAAATATACTAAATACAAATTTATAAAATATTTAATACAGATAAAAAAATTATTAATACTTAGTATTTATCATTTGATGCAATAGATTTGAGCAATAAAGGAGATTTTTTATCAGTTGTAACCATAGATATATAAAGAAATTTTTATAGGTCTATGGTTGTAACCACTTGGGTTTCATTTCTAAAACCGTGGTTACCTATAGCCGATTGAGAGTCCAGATCATAACGTGATAAAAACCAATGTCTAGGTCTCTATGATAAGAAGTGATATCACAGTATAGATTATAGAAACTGTACAAAATAAACTGATGTGATCTGATGGAACACAAAATATACACACCATAAGTGAAAATAAGAAAAAAATAACTATTGTTTGAAATCGGGACAAAAGCGGGACGTCGATTAAAAGTCGGTACATTTTACTGTCCCGATTTGATCACCATATTTAGCGGGACACCTGCTTGAATATCGGTACTGTCCCGCCAAAATCGGGACGTCTGGTCACACTAATTATGGAACCATAATAATAATAATAATTAATAACGTAAAAGAGTTTAACTGCTCATTATGATACCGTCTAGGTCTTAGTAGTATACATCACGTGCAAATATTTTGGATAACTGCTTCATTAGTAAAGTTAATTTAAATTTACTTTAATATTATTGTCAGTTAGCTAAACTGAGTTTTAGTAGTTTTGAATAATTGAAAGATGAAACATTTGCAATTATTATTTTTTTGGAGGGGGAGGGATAATTAGAGATCCCATTTTTTTAAGTATGAAGGAGTGAACTTTTTCAAATTCTACACCCCCCTCCCCAAAGCGCAAACTAGGCACAATTTATATTGATCGATGATAGACTTTGCTGATCAAGTAAATCATTTCGGCCGTTTTAAAGTAAGATACAGATAAAAAAAAAACGTTATTGAAGTTAAATTATTACTATCTAGGGAACAGACAAAAAAAATGTATTCGGAATAATCACATAAAATATAAAAATATTATTTAATAGGTTCGAATAAAAAAATTATTCAAATAAAGTCGCCTGGACACTGATAAAAATTAACCCGGGAAAGATACTTATCACTAAAGTTCGGATGTTTATGATTTTGCATATTTTTTTAGTGAAATCAGAATTATACGAAATAAACTCGATTCACAAAGACTAGATTTCAAATCAGCAAACTTATTTTGCATAAATTTGCCTATAATGATTATTTCTAAACTTAGTAGCACATTTGTAAGTATAATTATTAAAAATGTTCCATTTTATTATTATCTTAAATCATGTTCACGGGTATGAGTTAAAGAAAATTATACACAATACGAGAAACGTATTAAACGAAAATTCTGGTTGTAAAACATTATCCAAAATTTCTAAAAATAATCGTCATTGTTCTTTTAAATTTGAAGACATCACCAAAATAATTGTTACCTATTCAATGTTATCCTGATATATATAATACCTTTTTAAATAATTAACCTATGTAAAATGTTATTTATATAATGTCAAGTAATTGCATACCTATTTTAATATTTTGAGATGTATACTCTAATAGTTTGATACATTAATTATGGTCATTAACATCCGAGCTCTACTTATCACACAAAAACGCGGCTGCCATCTTCTTAAGGCTATAATGTTATATCTATATATTATTATTATTATTATTATTATTATAGTTTTGTATAGATGTAACACATAATACTGAATAGGTCTTTACAAAAAATGGTCGTCACTTTTTTGTTTACATTGAGAGTGTCTCTTCTGCTTTTAATCTATATTAATATACGCCAAATTACAATATGGTGTCCACCACAGAGTGGATTAAATCAGAGCGGACACTTAATGTAAACAATGATTTTTGGATCGACGCCGCCATCTTTTCATTTATCCAATCCCAGCTGTGTCTACCAGATTTGTCCCTGCTGAGAACCACTGACTTCAATGTTTTGACACAGCAACCTTTGGCGGGTAAATCGAGGAACGGGGTCTATCTATTTATAGGGGTATCGTTGGAATTCAAAAGTAAACAAAAATTATTCAGATATAACAATAATAAAATTATAATATCAGCCTTCACTTATATTGTTATTGTGGTGATGTTATTCCGATTACTCAACCATGTAAACAGCCCGCACAAAGCCCGTTTTCATTTAATTTAGTTGTAAAGTAGTTGGCTTTTTTTTTTAAAACAAATTTGTATAGTTTACGTTGAAGTGAACTTCGAGCAAATATTATGGTCGGTAAAACGGCGATCGGCATCGATTTGGGAACGACCTACTCCTGTGTGGGTGTATGGCGGAATGGTAAGGTAGAGAACATCACCAACGAGTACAGTAACAGGACCACACCAAGTTATGTATCGTTTACAGAAACCGAACGGTTGGTTGGCGAAGAGGCGAGAAATCAAGCTGGTATAAATTATAAAAACACTGTTTTCGACGCCAAGAGAATAATAGGCCGGAGGTTCTACGACGAGAAGATACAAGAGGACATGAAACACTGGCCGTTCAAAATAGTCGACGATTGTGGAAAACCAAAAATTCAAGTCAAGTTCATGGGCAAAAAAATCAAATTGACCCCCGAGGAAATCAGCTCGATGGTTTTGGCGAAATTAAAAAAGTCCGCTGAATTATACTTGGGCGAGGAAGTCACAGACGCAGTAATCACGGTTCCAGCGTATTTCAACGACTCGCAAAAGCAAGCAACTAAAGACGCAGGTACAATTGCAGGCCTTAATGTTCTCAAAGTATTAGCCGAGCCTACAGCTGCTGCACTGGCTTATGGTATGGACAATAAGCTGGAGAATGAACAAAACATATTGGTATTTGACATGGGCGGTGGTACGTTTGATGTATCAATTCTACAGAAAGAAAAAAATGATGTCTATAGAGTAAAAGCTATTGCTGGCGATACTCATCTAGGAGGTGAAGATTTTGACAATAGATTAGTATCTTATTTTGTTAGTGAGTTTCAACGAAAGTACAAAATAGATGTTATGGATAGTCCAAGAGCTCTAAGGCTTCTTCGGTTGGTGGCAGATAGAGCCAAACGATCGTTGTCTTTGCAAACTCATTTTAAAAGGCCAAAAATTAAAAAAAGTTACCCCTTCCCCATCAAAATCGAGAAAAATACCCAAAAAATGTACAAATTTTTCAACTTAAAACTACGATCCTCTATAACTTTTTTTAAAATAGTCGAAAAAGTTCCAAATTTATATGAATTGTTCTTTAAACATAGCACTATCGATAAACATTAACAAAACAAAAAAATATCATAAACCCTTTCCCCTAGAAAGGATAGAATTTTTCAAGCAAAGTTTTGAAAGATTTAGGTCTGAAAATTAGACCGAAAGTAGATCTAAAATAGAACTATAACATATACGATTTTCTCAAAAATATGTATTCAATTTTTTTTTTTATAAAGGAAAAACATAAAAAATAGGGTAAATTTACACTTTGGCCGTAGTCAGTTTTTAGGTTGCTATGTGTGAGGTTATGAAAATATGTTCATTATATTGTTAATTACGGTACATGGGTAACTATGACAGTACATTTTTACAGACAGACGATTAACCCTTATCCACCCTGCACAAGACTAAATATTAAATTTTAAGTACATCATTGCTGGTCCCACGATATCTTCTATACCGTTTTAACTGGATTGAACATACTATCCACAGATTCAGATCGAAGCGTTTATTTACAAGTGATTTTATCACTTTCAGTTATAATGAAATCTGTAGACCTGTGACCCCTCCGTCCCCACTATGCCCTGATCCCACTGTACTGGCTTTTTTTATAATCGAGAATTATAAATTTATATTATCAGATAAAACGAGCAAAGGTAAATGGTATGGACAATAATTGGGGGTGGAAAAAAATATCATATAATTACACGCCTTACTTTTCCATTGACCTTAAGGGGAACGGAACGGGCTATTTATTAAGGGTCAAGGACAGGCAATATTTGAAAAAAATTAAACATGCCAACTAATTTTAAGGCGTGTACAAATATATTTTTTTTCTAGTGATATAACTTTTTAAATTATTGTTTCAGTATTGACGGAAGTTTGATAAAAAAAATAACTCATAATGTCATTTTATAGCGTATTAATAAGACGGAATTTTCCTTTTAATGTGCAGTTTACTGTTTCTCTATGGGCGTTGAAAGGCCAATTTTTGATTGAGCTATTAAAAAATTGATTAGATTTACAGTTAGAAAAAATTATAAAATATATAATTATAAACACTTCTACAGTGTTGGTATTGGTGCATTGCCTAGGGGGAGTCAATATTTGTTGGTATATATAACATACTCAAACTATAATAAAAGTAGTCTGCAAGTGTGAAATATAAATTAACAGTTCCCCTTAAACTGAATTTTTTAATTATGTATTATTATTCTAATATATTTTTTTTTAGCATATTAGAGGCTCGTCCCATCATAATTTTTTAGAAGCTCGAAAAATGATGAATATTACACCTCGTGAAATTAGGCAAATTAGTGACACAAGATGAGCATGTCGATATGAAAATATTGTCATGGTCAAATAGCATTTTGGTGCAATAATTAATGTTTTACCGAATAAAGTTGATGTCGATAATGACAAGAATGCGATTGAAGCTGAAGGAATTCTTAATAATTTATTAAAATATCGCCTTTTTATAAATGTATTTATTTTAGATAACACCTTTGTGATTATAAATATATTAAGCAAATCATTGCAGAGTAGAAATGCCTCACTAGGGAATTCTATGGATGCCATAAATGCTGTCATAAAAACTTTACAAGATAAACGAGAAAACAAAGATCATTTTAATACACTATACCTCACAATATTTTTTGAAAACTTTGGTGTTAGTTTAGAAGTTCCTTTAACTACTTAAAGAAAAAAAAGAAAACCTACCCAAAATGTGCATTGTAAAGATTATGTTCTGGGGTCTACGGTTGGGGCAACGGGTATTCGTGATGAACCCTAAAATTATTCAGATTTGGAAGAATATTGGAAAAATTATTTGCAAGTATAACCAAGTGTTGGATAATATTATAAGAGATCTTAAATCACGTTTTTCATCGGAAATATTAGCTTTAGCTTATTCCCTTGGCAGTTTTTAAAAACTCGATACCAAAAGATCTTCCATGTTTATTAATCACTATAAATCATTGCTGAAAATCAACGAAAAAGAGTTAAATGCTGAAATGATAGTAGTTAAAAAATTATATTAAAAAAGGTGATTGGGAATTAGAGGAATTGCTAACAATTTTAAAGGAAAATAATTTCCAAATCAATACAATTTTTGTTTTTTTTTAAGTATTTTTTTAGAAACGCTTATTTAAAAAAAATAATTATTTGGTTTTTTTTTTAATGTTTTTACTTTTTAGTCTTATTTAAAGGTACCTACTTAATGAATGTGAACAGTTAAATTTATTGTTGAAATTTTATTTAAAAAGTTAAGGCACTGTTTTTTAAGAAAACATGTAATTTTAAAGAAATGACCCTCATATTAGGCCTCCCGTCATTCACAAACTCGATGTCCCAATAATATGTGAAACAATTATATTATAAATTAGCTTGAAATTCCCTAAGTTATACAATATGTGAAAATAATATGTGAAACAATTATATTATAAATTAGCTTGAAATTCCCTAAGTTATTCGCACTACCTACTTATACATTTCTATTGAATTTGAAAGTATTGTTTCAATTTTTTCGGTATTTTAATTAAAACCCACTTCATACTTGAGTAATTAATTTAAAAATAAAACAATCGTGTGAATTTCCGGCTGACGGAATTATTTTTTTATTTTTTATTACGGAATTATAATATTATCATAAGGAAAATCTACTTTATTTTTATGAAATAGAAATTTAATTATCATAGTTATTATATTAGTATATACTATAGTCTATATAGTGATTATTATTCTAATATAGCTTCACACTAAGTACCTAAAATGCGAAGGTACTCATTATACACCTAAACTTCTCTTGGTAAACACTTTAATATTTTTTAGTGAAAATCAGAATAACATCATCGTTCAATAGTTTTACTGAGAAAATCGTGCACAGACGAGGTAAGCGAATTTGTGTTATACTATGTATATATAATACATTACAACATTAACTTTATTGTACATTCAACATAGGTATTATATGCTACATTATATTATTATTTAAACTGTAAGTATGGCGAAAGAAGGGGTGTCCAGTAACACTACTTCAACTAGATTGAATTACATAATTATAATTGTTTTGAATTCCTTAAAATTTTTTTGATTTTTTACGCGAGAAGGTCGCGTGACCAATTTCGTTTTAATCGACGAGGAGGACGACGTTGTCCTGTCATTGTATTATATTTGTTTTCAAATTTACTTATTGTAACTAATATTACAGATTGTAAATATATTTTTAATAAAAAAAAAAAAAAAAGTATGGCGAAAGGATATTGTGATCCTTGTTTTATTATATGTTACCGAGATTACGGGGATAAACTATAAAATATATGTAATGTATTATACATTTACTTTGTGTCCAAATCATAATATTCTATACTGGCGATTAATAATACTTCATTTTTAACTTAACACACTAAACTTGTGTAAGTATATTTTTTATTGTATTTTCAGTTATATGGCGGTTTTTTTTAAAAAAATTATATAATTAAAATTACTAATATTAGGTTTACATAATGCTGTATTCGCGGTTTAAATAATACTATTTTAGTATTAAAACGACCATTTTTCATTTACAAATCATATTCTGATAGGTTTATATTAGTAGTAGGTAAAAAATTGTATTATTCCAAAATATATTTTCCAAGAAGTTTTACGCTGCATAAAGTATACACAGAAAAAAATACAAGTTGGAATAACTAAATAAATAGTTGAGCAGACTAAATTTATAGTTGAGGGGGCCGCAGCATGGTTTTTACAAAAAAATATTTAGTAATATAGATATCAAAAAAATAAAAACGCCACCCCATTGATAAAGATTTTCACTATACATTGTGAGAATTTAGTAAATTTACCCCATAAGGGGGTCGGAGCAGAACTAGTTTTCATGCATTTTAGACCAATAAGCGGTGCTAAATTAGACATACTTCCCAATGTTGGATTTTCATTTTTAAAGTATGTTTGGATTTGTTGACAAATTGTCTAGGTTTTTTAGGAAGCCGATTTTCAATTTTCTCTTTCGAAGACCTCCAAAATTATTTTTTACTATTTTTTTTAATTTAGTGATAATTCTCGAATTACATTTGAATTTATTTTAGGCAAATCAAATTTTAAATCGAAAATAGGCCATTATTTACCGAATTAATCACAATGTATAGAGAAAATCTTTATCAATGGGTTGGTGTTTTTACTTTTTTGATATCTATACTTAATGTTTTTTTGTAAGAACCATGCTACAGCTCCCGTAAGGCCTCTGGATACCGACCATTTTTAAGGAGTTTTGTATAGGCAATATTTAAGAAAAAAGTGGTTTTTATAAATTCCGACCATATCAATTAATTTACCGGTTAATTTGTATACCTTCAAGGTAAACTTTTTTGATATCTTATTCTTACTAAGTATAAAACACGTTTGAACATTATATAACTTTCCAATTATTAAAATCAAATTTAGAAATGGTTTAAATTATAAATTGAACAAAATTCTCCGACCGATCTCAAGTAAACTTCATTCCGAATTCAAATCTGTTAAAAGAAGTCTTATCGCTTCAATACAATGATCGGACCTATTGAAGTTAAACGGGTGGCTTTTGACGGAGAAATTGGCCGGTACCCAATAGCCTTTAAAGTAACTATACATTTTGTTGTTTAGTCGATCCAACTAAAACGAAATGAATTGTGTCTCTATATTAACCATAATAGTTTAGTTGGACCAACTATGTATTTTATCCCAGTGTAAGTTTTCAAATTACAAAATTTATTCAACAAAATAGAAGATGAGCATAAGCACGAGCGAAATTTTACGATGTGAAACATACGTAGGTATACGGGTGTGAAATAGGTAGTGATGACCTTCGGTAGGCGTCGAGACTCGTCGGGCGGCGTCGGCCGCTGCAGATAATAGCGGAAATAGAGATAATGGAATAGATAAAAAAACTAGAGATACTATATTAGAGATCAAATACTAGAGAAATGCTATTTATAACATAATATCTATGTTTCACATCAATCGTGTGTCCCATGACACAAATTTTTTTGGTTTGATAGACGTTTGAACTATCTTTAATAACAATTTAAAAAAAAAATGTTTTCTTTAATCTAATTAATATTATTTTTAACAAATGTTGTCTCAACTTTTTTTGTTATCTCTAGAGTTTCAGTAGATCTATAATATTAGGTATATACATTTTTTTTTTTTGTTAACCCAGAAGGAAAATGATCATTAATATCGAACAAGGAGCTATACAAGGTCAATATTATAAGACCCGTCCGTCAAATAAACCGTTTGTCAGTTTTCTAGGAATACCCTATGCTAAGCCGCCCGTCGGTGAACTACGATTTAAGGTAATTAACAGTATGTCGCTTGTAATTTGTAAAACTACAACTTTTAAACTGTAGCCTGTGACCAGGTGTCAAGATGAACTGGACGAGTTATACCCAGATGAAACATATTTACCAAGAATTTTGTATTAATAATTAATATAACTGTTTATTGCAGCCACCTGTCAAACACCCTGGATGGACCGGAGTTTACAAAGCTTTTTCGAAAAAAGAAAAGTGCGTACAACTCGATCCGGCTTCAATGGAAAAAGTTTTTGGAAGCGAAGATTGTTTATACTTGAACATATTTGTGCCACAAGTACGTGAATACACATTCGATATTTATATATTACAGTAAAACGAGAACCGTGTTATCGAATGAATGAATAACTTTAATACTGTTTTTTTCTTCTTTTTTTATAGGAAATCAACGAAAAGAAACCTGTAATGATCTTTGTGCACGGAGGCGTATTTAACTTAGATTCAGGATCGTCAAACTTATATTCTCCGGACTATTTAATCGAAGAAAATGTAATCTTGGTCACGTTTAACTATCGCCTTAATGTTCTAGGTAAAAGACTAAGAGAACTCTTAAACTTTTTATACATACATATTTAATTAAACTAGTTTTGTATGTTTGATTTTACAAATTGAGTCATGATGCTATTTTATTTTTTTCATTGTTATCTATTACGACCACAAAAGGATTTCTAAATCTGGATATTGACGATTGCCCTGGAAACATGGGTTTAAAGGATCAACTATTGGCGTTTAAGTGGGTAAAAGAAAACATAGCGGCGTTTGGAGGCGACGCTAATAACATAACAGTTTTTGGCATTAGCGCTGGATCAGTGTCGATCCATTGTCATATACTTTCTCCGTTATCGAAAGGTAAATGTTGTTTTTATGCTTCACGGCTGCTAAACTATCATTGTATTTATTCGGAATCGGGTTGATTTGTCAGGTGTGTTCCAAAGAGCTATTATGCAAAGTGGATGTGCTTTTAATCCTTGGACAATAAATTTGAAACACAAAAACGCTGCTCTCAAATTAGCGGCGGATTTGGGTTGTCCGTCAGACGAACCTCACGAAATAGTACAGTATTTAAGAAGAGTTCCTTTAAACGACTTAGTAAAAGCTACTAAAGTTGAATCTATAAGTAAAGTACGTATTTACGTAGAATTATTCTTATAGTAAAATTAGGTTCCCACTTTACCAGACACCCATTTTTTTTGCCATCTTGTTGAAAAACAGCAGTTCGTTTCCAATTCGTTATCAATAAATTACCATGATGATAGTGTTATACAAATTCAAATGTAGGCTGTCGCCAAAAAACTAAACGACCACGAAGGGCAGAGTAATAATTATTTTACATAATATACGCCCAATCGGTAGTTTGTTAAAAAAAACAAGGAAATATTAGCCACAAAAAAATATCTTTTTAAAATGAACCCTGTGACAAATATATAAACATATAACTATATAAAACGACTCATTACGCTGGCAGGCTCCGGGACTGTTTGTTAGGATACCCATAGATAATAATAATGAATAATACGAGTAGTTCAGATTGAGAGAAAGCATTTTCTTAATGGGAAAAATAGAACAAAAATGTCATAGCGCTTTATTTCTGACCAATGAGAGTGCGTAGCGACACCGTTGTTCGACCAATGGGATTATTCGACGCCGCCACAGCCCCAACCAATCAACGGCGTGCCTGCATTAACGCGAAGCTATATAAGGCGGTCGACCGAGCCCAGCAGCCAGTCTCTTGTAGAAAAGCATTTTTTGGACAGATTATTGATGTATGTCAAAATGCGATAAAGTTTATTATTTACATTTTGAAGTTTCCTACTATATCCATTCATTTACATCTCAATGTTTGGGAATTTTTTTAAGGAGTAAAAATGAGTGAGAACCTTACAGGTACTTCACTATAGATGGTAGAAAGAAAGGCGCCACTAGCAGATGGTTAATATAAAAATATAATTTTTTTAGTGGGTTGTTTATAGTTTTTATTGGCCGTTTGATAATGTAAAATAATTTTTTTTTTTTTTAAGGATCAAAGAGAATTTTTAGTTTTCCAATTTATTCCGACCATTGAAAGCGATCAAGTTAGTGAGAGATTGATACCAGCCCATCCTCAGGAGCTGTCGAAAACAGCCACATCGATTCCTTTAATATCCGGACTCACCGATCTAGAAGGAATGGTATTCTTTGGAGGTAAATTATTTTTTTAAATTAATTTTGTATGAAATACCGTAGGGCTCCAATAATTAATGGCGGGTTATTTGCATAATTGATCTAAAGACTAGGCAAGTTTATATCACTAGTTCGTGATTTAAGTATAACTGATACATTAATATATATTTTTTGTTAGCAGCATATATTTAAATTGTCGAGTCATGAAATTATAAAATACAGTTTTTTTTTATGTTTTCAGATCATAGAATTGGAAAATTAATACCTTTACGTAATGTCGAAGAATTTATTGAATTTTTCAAAGGCGATGTCAAATCCGATGAAGTCAAAAAAAGAATCCGATCGTTTTACTTTAATGGTCACGATTTAAAAACTGACATTGAGAATCTAGAAAGTATTTGCAAGGTAATAACATTACATTGAAGTTGCCATAAACAATTTATGGTTGCAATTCCAAAACCTGCTATTGGATTATACGCTTGTATAACTTGGTGGAAGTTAGTATTTAAGTAGAAATAAAAACACAACAATAATATGATTGAACACAATACTATTAAACATAAAAAACACACAGTATAAGTACAAATAATAGTATATACAACGTACGTTACAGTTATAACAGCAGCCGTAATAGAGTGATACCCAACACCTTAATACTACGGCTTATATATGGTATAATCTAGGTTACAAATGAAATTGGTCCTTGTACCAAACAACTTTCAAATATTACATAATAATTTCTATAATGTTCGCATATACTACTATATTAGGTCATACTATATTTATTAATTATAACATACTTATATTCCATGATCCAAATACACAATATTAATTATATTCAATACCTGCTTCCAAATTTATCCAGAATTTACTGCTGTTAATAAATGCAATATAAAACAATTTTTTGAAAAATTCAGACAAAAAAAATTATCGAACTATTTTGATTGATATATATATTTATTTGTCTGTACTTTAAATCTCAGTAGAAATAAAACCTACCAGATTCACCTAAAATCATAATGATCTAAATTTTTTTTTTAAATATTAAAATACATATTAAAATATTTAAATACGTGCCGAAAATTTTATTATTTAATATCATTTCATAAGCAAACGTTAAAATCATATTCATCTAGTGTTTTAATTTTTTTTTTTTAGATAACAGGCGATGTGTTTTTCACCAGAGATTTCCACAAAGGATTCGTCCACTTACTGGAAAAAGGCAATACGCCAGTTTATAACTATGAATTTAAATTTGACGGAGAAATTAATCTGTTAAAAGAAATTTTTTTTTCTAAAAAACCAAATTTACGAAAGTTGAAAGGTACGCTATATCAGTTGAAATTTTTGTTTTTAACATATTTAACTTATTTGTCGATTAATTAAAAAAATGTTAAATTAACTTTGTCAAACGTTTCTAGACAATTATTTGTTTTTCTAGTTTGTTGTGTTAGATTTTTTATTAACTGAAATAATGAGTACTTTTTAAAAATGATTTGAGAAAAAACGATCAATGAGTAATTTTAATGAATACTTTATATCGTCAGGAGCGTGTCACGGTGATGAATTGAGTTATTTATTCCTTGCTAATTCGTTTGCATTCACGCCTAAACCAAATTCCAGAGAATTAAGAATGTGCAGGACAATATGTAAACTATGGACTAATTTTGCAAAAACAGGGTTCGTTTATAGGTGTTTTTTAATAAAACAAAATAAACTGTTAAAACAAAAACAATTTTACTTTTAGAAATCCGAATTCGTCAGATCTTAAATTCAAATGGGACTGTACAAGCTTGGAAAATCCTAAACATCTATCGATTGACGGCGACGATACTCATATGGTCGAAGGCGAAGTGAACGGAGCCAGAGTAAAATTTTGGAAAGACATAGCCGAATTAGTAAAATTAAATCAAAAGCTGTGATGTGTTAATGTATTTCAATGGCGGCTCGTAGGTAAAACATTTGGTGGTACATATTTATAAAACATATTATAATTTAACTTTATAGTAGTCAATTACATTAAAATAAAAAATTAATTAAAAATATATCTGTATTTTGAATCGCGACATAATAATAATTTTCACACATTTTTTTTTTCATTTACACAAAGTATTATATTATAATGTTTACTGCAGTGTTCTGTTACTATTTTATAATAATAATATTACATGTACATGGAAATTATCTTTTTGTAATGCATTCAGCATTGTTCATTTAAAATATACTTCATGTATATTATAGTCTTAAGGAAATACCGTTAACAATTTGTCACGACATAGTTATACCGTATATTTTATTATTTAAATTTCTAATCTGTTTGGGAAAAAAAGATTATCATATTTTTGGACCTATTTTAGGTTTGCTATTATATTTACATTCGAAATATTTGTCGAAAATGTATGTATGTTTGTATAAGTAGTTGTGGACATACTAGGATTAGGTACTGAAGAATTATAAAACAAATACCGATCTCAAACTTCATTATAAATAAGTAATGGTACTTTAATTTTTGTTCAAACGAAAAGATACTTTTACAGTGATTATTAGTTTTCATATTTTGTATACTCGTATTTTACAATATCTATTACAGAATTATTATTATTCAACGAACGGAGGCTTCTGATACAGTTATTCTGTTCCTCCTGAGCAGATTCTGTATCTAAGAACGTTTTTACTGTAGACCTGTTAACATTGCCACAGCTATCAGATACCGCATTATACAATTTTTCAAGTCAAAATCATCACATTTTAGTTTTTAATACACAATGTGTTACTAATATTATGGAAATAGTTTATCTCGAATTATTACAACCTATTTTTTTAATGGTTTACTGTTTATTCAAATATTATAATTTTAAAAAAAAATAAAATTTAGATATTTAGATACAAAAATTACAATATCTATTACAGAATTATTATTATTCAACGAACCCCACATTGAATGAACTATTATGGAGGCTTCCGATGGAGTTATTCCATGTTCATTTTAAGCTTCTTTAGTATCTAAGTACATTTTTACTGTAGAACTGTTAACTTTACGCCAGATATCAGATACCGCATTATACAATTTGGCAAGTCGCTAAAATCATTATATTTTTATTTTTAATACACAATAATACTAATGTTTTAGGAGTAATGTAAATCGAATTGTAGTAACATAAAGCATATGTTTAACTTTTAACTATATTTATTAAACTATCATTTTGTAATAACATATTATATATTCAAATTTATACTATATGTGACATTTTTATATAACTATCATGTTATTATTATTCAATATACAACGCGCGTAGTGTGATATAGAACCTCTTTGAATAATTTCAATAAACTTAAAATACTCTAATAGATAGCGTACATATTCATTTTAGGCGTAACATTTACATAACAATAGGTTCATTAAAGAAGGAGTTAAACACACGACTCGACACGAACTTATCCGAGACGAACTTAACCAACACAGAAACGCACTATTTAACCCAGCCCACAGCGCAGCGAAGCGCAGTTGCTCTCTCACATCTCTTTTACAACCTTCCTCTCCTTATTGTGTGGACGCCAAAGTCGGGTAGCTGTTATCAGTCCGCCGCGGCCACCAATGTCCTTTCTTTCCTTATTGTGTGGACGCCAAAGTCGGGTAGCTGTTATCAGTCCGCCGCGGCCACCAATATCCTTTCTTTCCTTATTGTGTGGACGCCAAAGTCGGGTAGCTGTTATCAGTCCGCCGCGGCCACCAATATCTTTCCTTTCCTTATTGTGTGGACGCCAAAGTCGGGTAGCTGTTATCAGTCCGCCGCGGCCACCAATAACATAATCCTTCCTTATTATCCTTACACATACATACGCCAAGTCCGTAGCGATTTATAAAAATACTATATTCATTACAATTCAATTACTTAAAACCGTACGAGTTTCTTATCACACACGTGTCATTATTAAGCAATAAAAACACTGTTGTTCTTTCGTTCATACATATACCTATACCTATACCTCTTAAAAGTGTCGTTAAAGGTCATTAATTCTAGCGGTCGAACAATCCTATTACACCCATGTGACTATTTTTGGTCAGCAAGGAATGTAGTCGGCTTATAATAACTCAGTAGACGTTGTTATTTCTGACAAGCGCATTGATTATTATAAAACCATTGGTAGACCGTGTACTGAATTACACTTTAACGAGAGATAGATGGTCGTAAGATAACGTTAAAACACCAGTGTCTGAAATATATTTTATGAATGAAAACATTCGTGTTAAAACAACGTTCATTTCGACATATCAAGATCACATACTCAAGGAATATCGACAAGGTCATAGAGCTTCGAGTGACTCCACGACAAGGTATGTACTGTATACAATATTATAACACTGTGTAATAGTAAGTCTAGAGGCAGGAAGTGAGCCCTTGTAGTAAACATACACACATGCACACCCCGATTAAGAGCCGTTTTCATACTTATTTAAAATATCCATTCACCGCCGCTTCCCCGTGCTTTTCTTCTATTACAAAATGGCGCCCAACGTAAAAAGCTTTTATTCCACAAATCACAAAATTTTTGGCTTCGCCCGAAAAAAACCGCTGCCCAATTTTTTCACAACTACAAAAACTTGGTAAAATTACAAGAAATATAAATATAAAACATTAAGTAAATTATATATTAAATAAACATACGAACTCTTAAAAATACTGACATTAAAGTTAAAAAAATAATCAAATATTGTCATACAATTCTGTTAACTGATATAACTAGAAGTTTTATTTTTCATTCTACAGTTCAAAAACCATTTTTGAAAATATTACAACTATTAGAGTATACATACTACACTAATATATAACTAACATCCGATAAAACGTTTTAAATGGAATCTAAACATACATATAGTACTTATGAACGAAACAACTCAAGTCAATTAGAAGGCACCCTTGAATACCAGAGACGCCAACCAGGTCATTAAATGATCTAGGCGAGATTAACACGGCAATACACGGGTAATTGAGCCCCGACCGATTTTTCTGTAGAACACTTAACAGGGGTGACAAAACTTCTCTTTGTACACCAGACATAAAACTCTTAAAAATATCGTTAAATTTTTCATTACAAAACTCTCAAAAATGCCTAATTTGCTTACAAACTTAAATATTTAATAAATATATAAACCTACAAAATGTTTTTTTGTAACATATCCAAATTTTCACAAACATAAACACTTAATAATTTCAGCTTTGTCAATACACTGAGGAAATGTAACTCTTTTAACACACAAATACTTAATTTCGATTTTATTTTTTACATATCTTGGTGAATATCGTACTATAGATCTATATACTATCTTATTATAGATGTAGATAACTTTAACATTATAACCACTGCATCATACCAACATAAATTTTGAATACAAAAATAATATTGTTCTAACATAGTTCATTTTTATAATAATAACAATAATATACATAACACCTATAAAATAAAGGCCACTCATATGATAATACATGCTAAAAAAATATATATATATAAAGGGCAATACACATAGGCCTAACATATAATAATAAAAATAATATTAATGCTAATAAATAGAGCATTAATAAATAAATAACGCTTTTATATAAGCCAAATATATAATATTGAAACCGATAAAATTATATAAATATAGCAATGAACTTAACAAGAATAGGTTTTCATTAAACAACATAATAATAATATTCGCCAAGCAAATCTTATAACATTATGAATCTTTATAACAAATATTATAAAAACAATAATATAACAAAATCAAATTTAGTATAAAAGTATCACCCTTTTATAATTTTAATAATGCAGTAAACAAATCCATTACAATTATTTCACAAAAAATAATGCGTAAAATAACGAATAGTATAATTTCCTATCATTCACAATATTTCCACATATCCCATAAACAATTATCGAATTTTTGCAAACAATCCTTATACACAATATTACTGTATTACACGAAATCAACTACAATTCACACCTAATTTTTTTTTTAAATATCACTTTAATACGCTCAAGCGAGGCTTCAGGCCGAAATAAAAGATCATACTAGTATACTTAATGAACCATAAATATAAAACTGAAATTTATCATAAAATACCAAATCAAAAACTATCATTACTTTAATACCAGTATTAAAACACTTTTATAATTACAAACCGAGATACCTAAAGGCAAATGCAAACGGGAAATGTCCTTATAACCTAATAATGCTAATAAAATTGCGACCCATAAGATTTTCTTAATTTAAGGTTTCAAACATAGAAAAATAACATCACACACAATATTATTACCGACAAAATGTCGGGATATAGCATCAATACTAATTACAACATTAAATATACTACCAATAATTAATATAAGCATTATATCGCAAAGTTAATTTACATAAGAATAATATTAATAATCCTGGTATAATAAGTGATATTAATAATGATAATATTAAAAAATATATACATAAAATATGCTAATAAATATTACATAAATAATACAGACCAAATACCAAATATATAATAAAAAAAATTTTTTTTTTAAAAAAACACAGGCTATTTTCATAAAGAATGTTAATATAGGCTACATACATAATAAGAAAGCCAAATAAACAATAAAAAATATTGAATAATGATACAAGAAATGCTATTGATCATTTATTTACAATACAAATATAAACATACATAAACGAGATATCAATAATATAGATATCATTTATAAAGTCTAAACATATAAACAAGATGCTGATAAATACTCTATTACAAAAATAATAAAAATACACCAGGCCAAAAAGTACATAAATGATGCCAAGTAGGACCAATTGCATAACGCTAAGATCAGACAAAACATACATACTGGGAAAAATATATAAAAAATTCTAATTTGGTATAAAAGTATGATATTTTTCATACAACTCATACATTACACATATAATTAATATATTCACAATAGATTATAAAACTACTTTTAATGTTATGCATTGAGTCAAATGCGTTACAGCAAAATTAAAACACAATTTTCATACATAAATCATCTAAAAGGGAGATAGATAACACAAATTAACAAGAATATAAATACTTTATTAAGATAAATTACCACTTATATTAAACAAAACTAAATCATTTCAATAAAATTGCCCATCACAATAAAATCCACTTAAGCCAAGAATAAATTACACTATACAATTTTCTTATAATTATCATATAACTTTAATGACACAAAATACAAATTTAATCAACTTTTCTTAAATCTAGAATAACATAATAAAAACATATACACAACAAAAATTCTTTTATACATATTATCATTAAGCATACACGAGTATATCTACTCAATGAAATCATCCTTAGTTATATTAGATCTAATCTAAGTAATAAAAAAAAAAAAACAAATTTAAAGTTTTCTAAAATATTTCAAAACCTTTTTTACAAAAACTATATTTTCAAGAAACAAAAAATACATTAGTTAAATTAACACATACATTTCTATTTTAATCACACAATGTGATGACATTTATTCCATAGTTAATATGTCTACACCACTATGACCACTTTGTTCATAATTTTATATAACAAATGCATCAATAAATATGCAATAATCAACGCTTTTATACTATATATATATCACATATACAATAATATATACTAATATAGAATAAGGCTTACTACTAAACATCATATAATTCACTAACACAATTTTAAAACAAAAATATATATAACTTATATAAAAAAACAAAAAAATTACATAATTAATACTATCATAAATCATGTATTTAGCATTTAAACATTAGATCTTAATAAATATCACTTAACTCAAAATATTCTCTAAATTATATATTATAATCATTGATTTATGTAAAAAAAAAACATAAAATATATAAGTATAAAAAAAAAAACCTTTTTATTTTATACAATCTCATATATTCCCAATTATTAAATAATATTATTATCAAATGTAATCATGTCATAATTGTTATTATGTGTCTAAAACATTTGTATTTCAATATAACCTAGCACTTAAGTCATTATCACATTATATACAACTTAAACATATATATATAATGAATCATTACATATATAAAATCGATACATGCCTCATTTTCACCAAAACCATTTATTGTATAAAAAACACAACACTAATTTGTAAACAAACATACACACCTATGCTCACACATAATCGATCCTTCTTTATCTACAATCTATCAATGTGTACAACAACAGGACCCATTCCATCACATACGGTCATCGGCAACCAATCATCGGACCACCCACATCTATACGGAAACGAATCACGAAGGACACGCAAACCAAACCGGATTGTCAAATCCTCAATACAGCCTGGTAATAGAAGGGATGACCATACTATTGTCACCCCAACAATACAATCCTGAAATCCTATTACAAACAGTAATTCGTTCGACCTTCACAACGGTTCACGTGTTTAACTTCAGTAGTTCAACCAATCTTACTGTCATGTCGACATTTTCTAAAAGAAATGCTTGGTATTCAAACTTCATTATTGACGACTACATGAGACTTCTCGTGAATTATTCCAAGTCAAACGTTTATGCATTTAATACGGATTTCATTAATCAACTCCTCACACATGGCTTTGAAAACGTCAAGAAAAATTTAATCGAACACAACATATTTTCTAAACAATATTTGTTTTTACCAACAATTGTGAGCGGTTGCCATTGGATTCTAAACACAGTACACATCCCATCACATACTATAACACAGTATGATAGCTTACACACATATTTTCCGCAAGTAACCAATACCATTGCAACCATGTTGAAACAATACACAGATCTTATGAACATTGATCCAATTAATTGGACAATCGTTCAAGGTGATTCTCCCTATCAAGAAAACGGGTATGACTGCGGAGCTTTTGTTCTCGAAATGACCAAACATATCACTATGGAAACACCATTCAATTTCAATCAGAAACATATGTCTCTTATTCGTATTCGACATGAGAAGGAATTACGACTTCAAACAATACTACCAATACTTTTACGACATGGCATGGATGGGAGCAATAATCAATCATCTCAAACTTCTAAAAACACAACATTATCACCCAACTCAGTATCAGGTGAGTCCACTGAGTTAATAAACTATAAAGCCATAAAGAACAAGCGTAGACTCAAACGTATGGGTTATAAAAGACCACGAAATCACAAGAAAAAGAACAAAGCAAAAACACATGATCACACATTATCACAATAATACACACACCTAAATTTTTTAGACAAAAAATATAATATATTCATAATAAAATTAAAAAAAAAGGGGAAACAACATGTATCACATTTCATTATATTCTCATAGTTTAAGATAACTAACCATTATTATTATCATAATTACTATTATTATTTTATCCATTATTACACACCTTATCATGTTACGAGGGCGTAACATAAAAAAATTAGCCCGCACTTTGTAGTAACATAAAGCATATGTTTAACTTTTAACTATATTTATTAAACTATCATTTTGTAATAACATATTATATATTCAAATTTATACTATATGTGACATTTTTATATAACTATCATGTTATTATTATTCAATATACAACGCGCGTAGTGTGATATAGAACCTCTTTGAATAATTTCAATAAACTTAAAATACTCTAATAGATAGCGTACATATTCATTTTAGGCGTAACATTTACATAACAATAGGTTCATTAAAGAAGGAGTTAAACACACGACTCGACACGAACTTATCCGAGACGAACTTAACCAACACAGAAACGCACTATTTAACCCAGCCCACAGCGCAGCGAAGCGCAGTTGCTCTCTCACATCTCTTTTACAACCTTCCTCTCCTTATTGTGTGGACGCCAAAGTCGGGTAGCTGTTATCAGTCCGCCGCGGCCACCAATGTCCTTTCTTTCCTTATTGTGTGGACGCCAAAGTCGGGTAGCTGTTATCAGTCCGCCGCGGCCACCAATATCCTTTCTTTCCTTATTGTGTGGACGCCAAAGTCGGGTAGCTGTTATCAGTCCGCCGCGGCCACCAATATCTTTCCTTTCCTTATTGTGTGGACGCCAAAGTCGGGTAGCTGTTATCAGTCCGCCGCGGCCACCAATAACATAATCCTTCCTTATTATCCTTACACATACATACGCCAAGTCCGTAGCGATTTATAAAAATACTATATTCATTACAATTCAATTACTTAAAACCGTACGAGTTTCTTATCACACACGTGTCATTATTAAGCAATAAAAACACTGTTGTTCTTTCGTTCATACATATACCTATACCTATACCTCTTAAAAGTGTCGTTAAAGGTCATTAATTCTAGCGGTCGAACAATCCTATTACACCCATGTGACTATTTTTGGTCAGCAAGGAATGTAGTCGGCTTATAATAACTCAGTAGACGTTGTTATTTCTGACAAGCGCATTGATTATTATAAAACCATTGGTAGACCGTGTACTGAATTACACTTTAACGAGAGATAGATGGTCGTAAGATAACGTTAAAACACCAGTGTCTGAAATATATTTTATGAATGAAAACATTCGTGTTAAAACAACGTTCATTTCGACATATCAAGATCACATACTCAAGGAATATCGACAAGGTCATAGAGCTTCGAGTGACTCCACGACAAGGTATGTACTGTATACAATATTATAACACTGTGTAATAGTAAGTCTAGAGGCAGGAAGTGAGCCCTTGTAGTAAACATACACACATGCACACCCCGATTAAGAGCCGTTTTCATACTTATTTAAAATATCCATTCACCGCCGCTTCCCCGTGCTTTTCTTCTATTACAGAATGAAATTAGTATATTATTTAGGTTTGTAGGATATTAATTTTTTTTTTTTTAAATCATAATCAGAATTACCTCATCAGTAAACTCAAACTCTGCATTTGCTGTAAGAAAATAAAGAAAGATGTATGAATACTTAATAAAATATGTAGGTAAAGCTCATTATGATATTTTATCTAACGAGCGAAACGCTTAATTTTTTGTACCTAGCATGATAAATAGCGTTTTATATTTTTACAGCTTGTTCTTCCTTACTATATTTACAGACGATTTCTGCATCACACTATAAGTATTCCTCAGAAATAATTCATGTACAACATAAAAGTGATTAATAGTTTTCACATTCCACATGCTCTATACTATACAAAATCTATTACAAAATTATTATTATGAAACGTACCCGACATGAAATCAATTTTCTTATAGGCTTCCGACATGGTTGTACCCAATTCAGATTTACTTATACCCAATTCCAGCCGAATTGATTCTTTCATTAAGTGGTTTTGTATTGGAGTCATGGAAATTTGTTTCCCGGAATCATTTACCGAATTATGCATTTTTGCAAGTCGCTAAGATTATTACATTTTTATTTTAAATATACTTTAATACTATTGTTATAGGAATAATGTGAGTCGAATTAAAACTAGTATGTTATTCTCTAAGTTTTTAGTTTATTAATTTATTTTTATTTAGCATTACCTCACTAGGAGACTCGAAGTCTGCTAGTGCTGTATAAAAATAAAGAAAACTGTTTAAATACTTAATAAAATATGTTAAGCTCATTGTTAATATGATATTTTACATAACGAGTGAATGCTCGCAATGTATTGTGGCTGTTTAAAATTTAAATGATTCTTATTATTTTTTAATGCCTGTTGTTACAGCGAAATACATGAAGAGTGAACAGTGTAAAACTTAATAAACGCATATGCATTTTGTTTGGTCAATTGGTTGAAAATTCAAATCGAGTTTTAAAAACAATAACCGTGGCTAAAGCCTATGAGACAGAAAAACAGTTGTGGTTTTGCCGTTTGATAAATAAAAAAAAATTACCTATTACAAGTTTACACAACAGTCTTTTAACAAAATGTTATTTATTAGATTATTGTAAGCCTCATATTTTATATGACTCCAAATAACGTTGATTAAAACGAATAATGTTATGGTATTGTAATAGCTTAACCGAGTTTTAGCTTGAAAACATATTAATTAAGACCATGTTATGCCATTTGGGACGATATTAAAAGTCCGATTTAGGAACAATGTTATTATAAAATATACATGGTTTGAAATTGTTTTGTTGTGTTAAGTGAAAACATGTTTATTTGTTAATATTATTTAAACAAGACTTATGCACATTATTTTTTTATAACAACAAGAAACTTTGATTAAACGAATAATGTTACGGTATTTTAGATAGTTAAACCGAGTTTGAGCTTGTAAAAAAAAGTTAATCGAGAACATGTTATGCCATTTTGGGCCGATATTTAAAATTCGTTCCAAGGACAATATTATTAAATAATATACATAGTTTACATGGTCTAAAATACATTTTTGGTGTTAAGTAAAAACATTTTAATTCGTGAGTATCCTATCGGGAAGAGTTCGTGTAGTAAAGCAGATAATTTGGTATTGCTTTTATAAAATGTTAACTAGTAATATAATATCTGTTGCTTTTTGTTTTTTTTTTTTGTTTTTTTGCAAACCGATAAATTCATATTAAGGTAACCTACATATTTTCTTAGTTTAATATGAAAACATGTTATAATTTGAACAATACAACTGCAAAATATTTTTCTGCTTCCGTATTAAGACTTTGGAACTATGAGTAGCCTGTCTAAGAAATTTCCTAATTTAAATTCACCACAAACGATAAACTGAAAATTGAAATTGAGTTTTTATACTATTACTAATAAGACAGGTTTTTTACCCGTTTATTTTAATTGAACATGTTCAATTTTACTCTTTACTACAAATAACGGGTAAAATGGGGTAGGGGTAAAGTAAACTGTTTTAATCAACACAATACTAGTTATTTAACATTTTTATGAAGTTTTAATGTTCGAATAAACATTTACAAATCACACAATCAGTAGATTAATTGATAAAAAAAAAAAATCTCACACACCCGTTAATTATGTTATGTTATTTACATACATAACATTTTAAAATTAGCTAAATTATTTGGTTTTTCGAATAAAGTGAACGACTTTAGGATGTTGAAGTAATCTTGAAGCTCTGAAATATTGGTATAAAATTAAATTTACAATGCGATAATAAAACAATAAGTTAAATTATATTAAACGTAATTTCCTTCGGTCAGGGAAGTCGGCAGTTAAATTTTTAGACCTCAATTACAATTTTAGAAAAAAAACACATGATTACTCTTTATGGGTAAATTTGTTTTTGATATTTGTTTGATTTGTCAATGTATACCTTAAAAAATATTCCGTATAAATTTGTTAATTATTTGACCTTTTTAAATAACCACGTAATTATTTTATGTTGAGAAATATGCAATGTTTTTTCGAATTTTAAGGTAAGGGGGTAAATACTTTGTATTTTATAAATGCACTTGAAAATCGGTCATAAATGTTGAAAGTTCATCTCTTCCTCTTAGAAATTAAAAAAAAAACACCAACAAATTGTTTACATCTCTTAATGTTAAATTACGGCACGGTATCACTTTTTTTAAAATCACTATTAAATTTGTATGGTATATATTCTTTAGACAATGTACTATCGACAAACGTTAACAAACCAATAAAAGGTGTCAAAAGCCCTAAACTACCAGAAGGTTTAGATACATATTATCGAAATACGGATACTTGTAATTCCACTTGTAATGGCTTTTGATTTTTATATTTACTATTTGGAATACTAATAATTAACCCAGACAAGCCTATAATATATACTATTTTCATTTTTTTTATCACATAAAAACAAATGCTAATAAGAAAAAGAATATGTTACATTACACGAAACATATTGTACTGGAGAAAGGGTGAACAAATTACTTGCCTGGAGGCTAAACTATTTTAAATCCACACTACTAGCTAATGTTGTGGCGTCTACATCATACAGCTTTTCGACCAGCCATCAACGCTTTAAATTCGTCTTTTGCCATATGATTAACTAGAAATCATTACAAAAGTATTTATAATAAAATTTACAATTTTTATCTATATTATGCTGTAACGATTTGACTGGTTGCAACATAGTTTGTAGAGAAATAAGATAAAAGCGTTTTGCATGTTTATATCTTGTTTTTCCTAAGTATCTTTATAGATGACATTTGTATAATATTGTAAGTTTTTCTCAGAAATGTAATAATTAATATTTTATATACTTGGAAGTATGTTGCAAAATAAATATTTTGTTTATCTTTAGTAATGAAGGAACTTAGTTAGTAAAAAGGAAAATGTTATTGAAAAACAAGATTGTTTTTGTGAACACCGTGCAGTTGTGTGTGCGTGTCACCTTGCAGTTTTGGCTTAAATAAAATTTGTTTGTGTGTATTATTGTTACACTGTTTTATACGTACTCTTTAAGAGTTTAGTTATCTTTTCGACGTCCTTTGGAGTTAGTCCATATTGGGCGTGTTCCACATATAAGTACTCTTTAACTTTATCCTTGGTAACTTTATGGCGAATAACAAACTTACCCTTTTTTTTTTATTATAACGTACCCCATTATAAATGTTTTCGAGTTGCTAAAATAATTAATTTTTGTTTTTAGGACACATTGGTGGTTATACTAACATTATGGAAATTATTTATCTCGTATTATCATAACATATTAATCCATAGGTTTTCTGTGAATTCAATTATTTTAATTTTTTTTTAAATATAATTAGCATAATTAGATAGAAAAAATTAAAATTTACCTCATTTGTAAGTTCTTTTTTTAAGCTGCTCATAAATTCATCAAATGGCATATTACCACCTAAACATTTTATTCAAGTATTCACATCAAAATTTACCAAACTATGTTGTGCTGTAACGAATTTCAGTCGTTGCAATTATTATTATTATTGCGTTTTCTGAACAAAATTTGGCCGTTAAGGAAATTACATTTCACATTTTATATACTTTACAATATCTATTACAGAATTATTATTATTCAACGAACCCAACATGGCACCTAATATTTCGGAGACTTCCAATCTAGTTATTCCATGTTCCATTCGAGCTGATTCCGAACTTAAGTACATATCTACTGTCATCTTAACTAGTTAACTACTTGCATTTTATCAAATACCGCATTATACAATTTTTCAAGTCTCTTAAATGATTACATTTTTATTTTTAATACACAATAATACTTATATTATAGGAATAATGTGAGTCGAATTAATACTAGTAAATTATTCACTAGGTTTGTAGAATATTCAATATTTTTTTTATGAATCCTATAATCAGATAAAAAAAAAATTAAAACCAAAATTACCTCCTCAGAATATCTTAATTGTCCATTTCCTGTGTGAATATAAAGTAACACGTTTAAAAATTTAATAAAATATATAAAGCTCATTGTGATATTTTATTCAGCGAGTGAAACACTTAATGTTTAATTTAAAACTTAAATGATTTTTATTATTTTTAATGCCATTTGTTACAGAAAAATACATGAAGCGTTTGCAGTGTAAAACTTAATAAATTCATACCCATACAATTTGTTTGGTCAACCTCTTCATTAATGTTGTCGAGTTTCTAAAATCAGTAAATTTTTGTTTTTAAATACACAATGTGAATACTACTTTTATGAAAATAATTTATCTTGAATTATTACAACATATTATACAATAGGATTACATTTTATTCAATTATTATAATATTTTTAAAAATATAATTCATATAATTATAAAGAAATAAAAAATAGTAAAAAAGTAAACTCAAAATTAAAAAATTATTTTACTACAAGAACAATTTACCAATTAGTTGTAGCACATTTAATTTAAAATATTTAATTACTTTGAAAACAATCGAAGATTGACTATATTTTTAAATAATGTTAAACATCACACACTTAGTAGATAATGTTTTATAGTGAATTTTTTTTGTAATTTAAATTTGGTTTAATATTAGTATGTGACACATATATTTCATAATACCTAACTCAATGAATTTGGACTTTGTTGAGTAGGGCCCACGCTTTTGTTTTTAGTCAAAAATTATATTTTTAACATTATTTATAGTTGCTGTTAATTTTCGGTTGTTTTCTAAGTAATTCAACATTTTAAATTCAATGTGCTACAATTGATTGGTTAATTATTCTTGTAGTAAAATTATTTGTTTACTTTTTAGTACATTTATTGAATAGTTTTTAAAAAAGCATGTTTTTAAAAAAGCATGTTTTTAAAAAAGTTTTTTTTTAATTATTTTATTTTAATTTTTACTTTTTAGTTCTATTAAAGGTACTTAATAATTGGTGAGTAGATTACTAAATTCATTTGGGAAGATTTGAAAAAAAAACATGAAATTTTAGTGAAATGACCCCCACATATGACCCTGTGTAGCCCGAGTCCCAATACAGGATATTGTATTGTCATCCAAGATGAGTGTCTGTGCCAAGTTTCAGCCCTCTACGACATCGGGAAGTGGGTTAAATTAATTTTGCAAGATTTGAAAAATACCCCTACATATGTGTTAGCGAGTTGAAGAAAAGCATGTAAAAAATTCAAATATACCTTATTAGTAGGATCTTTATTTGAACATTTTATAAATACATCAAATGGCATAGAAACATTTAAAAATGTAAGAAAAGTATTCGCATCAAAATTTACCAAACTAATATGTTATGCTGTAACGAATTGAGTCGTTTCAATTATTATTATTATTGCGTTTTTATGAATAATATTTGGCCTTTAAGGGAATTACACATCGAAAGTCACCTAGCAACAACAATTTTATTTGCCCGCTTGTTTAGTTTTTAAATAAAATAATATCGAAATAAAATTCATTGGGAATGTTGTATCATGAACATTTTTATATTAATTTCAATTCGTC